ATTATCCGGGTCACATGTTAATTTATTTTTGAGTTTAGAGACTGCATTCAGTATATTTTCTTCCGATATCTCATCAATGATCAATAAATTATTTACTTTGAGGATATTACTTTTATTATAATTATTACAGTTTGTAGAATAAGCACTTTTAAAATGATTCGCAAATGAATTGCCAATTGACTGGCTACAAGAAAGTTTTTCACCACTGTTGAACATTATTCCAGGAGTTCTTGTTTTTTTTGCTTAGACTGAACGTATGACCAGAATCCTTGCGGATTACTTTTTAACTTTGTTTCAGAACTTCTAATAAATTTTTCATAATCCTCATCTATTCCTTTTTTGATGGTGCGTCTCAAATTCTTGAACCTTTCCAAGTGAAAGAGTGATTTGTGTTTTTTGTATAATTTGAGATGAGAATATATTTTTAAATATTTTTGATGAGGGTTATAATGAATTACACCAGCCGCTGACCACCATACAATAACCATGATCGTTTTTGGTGGGTTTTCGCCTTTGAAAAGCACCTGGGTGACTCATCAGAGTCTTGAACGTCTACCGTTTTCGGAGAGGATCCACTTTTTTCATCACACGTAACAATCCGATCCGAAAAAGGATCGTTTTGGTTCCGCCATCCCATGCACCGTTTGTGATTGGTCAGTCTCCACCAGGGTCCTCAAATCTTCGTCCTGGATTACTGTAGGTCGACCACTTCGGGGCTCATCTTCGAGGCTAAAATCTCCGGAACGAAATTTCGCCAACCAACGTCGAACAATGCCTTCATTAACACTATCATTGCCAAATGCCTGATTAATTTTTTGTGCTGCTTCGGCAGCCGAAAATCGCTAACGACATCATACAGTAATAAGCTAAAAAGAAGCAGAAAATTAAAATTTGGAAAAAAATAACAGCATCAATGCGTAGAGTAAAAAATTCTCTGTTGATCATATACCGCGACACAGTGAAATAAATACTTATTGAGTCCTGGAAATATCCAGTTTTTTTCTGGAGATCTGCCATAGTATGCCGGTATCATCTGCTGATAACGTGAAATTCCCCCTTATATTCAACGATGTCAGATCATTCATTCACAAAATAAAAATGATGGGACCAAGAATAGACCCTTGAGTCGCTCCAGTATTTATACCGCAGTTGATAATGAAGTGTACGTTCAAACAATTCAACTACAATCGGTAATATAAGATTCAAATCACTTAGGAGGTATGCTGTTAATGAAACAATCAATGAGCAGTTTTCCATGATTTACACAATCGAATGCTTTGGATGAATCACAGAACACTGCTACAGCTAAATCAAGATTGTTGATATTGTCATCAACTTCCTATAGAAGGGACAATGTGACAGCATTAGTACACTTTTTCAGTTGAAATTCTTATTGTTACAATTCATTATATTATGCCCTATTAAAACAATTTATCCACTAGACTACTTAGAAGGCATGTTCATTCCTGATAGCTTTTATTTATTCAACACGGATATTGATGAGCTCAGAAACACTTTTAAGGAAATCAAAAACAAAAATTCTTCTGGTATCGACGAAATATCTGTAAGAATATTAGAAAATCTACCAGACGAAGCATTACATACTCTAGCAGAAGAAATAAATAAATCCTTTGCTAGTGGTGTTTTTCCGTCATGTTTGAAAACAGCCGTTATAGTGCCAATCCATAAAGGANTTACAACTAGACCAAAGATATATGTATTATCTATTGTTTATATCTGCAAATTTTAACCATTTTATATAAATCACTGACAAATTAATAGGCATATGCTATTGTATTGTACATGTACATATACTATTGTATTGTACAGTCTTTCCTCTTAGACAATAAAGCACATTGATTGATTGATTGATTGATTGATTGATTGATTGACTGATCAAAAGATGTTTTATCAGATATTGCATTGTTATTCCTTTATTGTCTCTTTCAATTCCCTGACATCTGTTAGATAGTATTATTTGTCGGCTATTATACAGTAAAATTGGTTAGGATCCTCTGCACCTAATAAACATTTTGTTTGCCTCTAAATTCATTTGCGATCTATCGATGGACTAGAAAATCCTATTATAGAAGAAACAAAACAGCTTTTCCTGTAACCACTTTTGCTTTAGCATACCTTAATTGCAAAACTTGATATTAAATTACTCTTGCTTCCTGGTACACTCACAACAAATCTATGTCATTTCTCCGTTAATATGAAAAATAAACGAACAATTTCCAGATGGTTTATTTTGTAGTGCCACGCAGAATAACAACTTGTCTAAATCACGGCAGATGATATTAAATTTCTCGGTTGAACTATCGATTACATTAATGCAATATGTTTTCTGACCACTATAACCACTAAATTCCTAACACCATGTCAAGGAGGAGACACACTGTTAGTTACAGTTTTGCCTGACTCAAATAGTTAATTCCCCAGAAAAACTGTCCATGAGGACGTGAGTGTTCAAAATAATAATGATAATAGTAATAGGTTTCTATTTCCCATAGAAATATAATAGTACTAGTGAGTTTATTCAGCTATGAAGCTACTAAATATAAATATCATATACAAATAGCAAATAACACAATACAAACAGATCATTATAATTGGTAAGTAACATAAATTATAAAATTATATTATTTCCAAGTAAACTTTGAATAAACTCGATATGGTAACAGAAAAAATCCGGGAATAAATATTTTATTAAAGTTATCAAATCATTACTCAGAAATCAATTTCATTTTGTACAATTTTCAAAATTTTACGAAATTTTCAAAATTTTTCATTTCTAATGGCAAATTATTATAATTTTGCAAACCTTTGTAGAATAATGGTGTTATATCTCTTCAATTGGATATCAGTTGAATTTCTTGTATTATGTGGATGGATGTATCTCGTATCTGTAGAGTAGGGAGGGTGAGTGTAGACTCACAGTACTTAGGCCACATGTGACCCATTGTACATCCTCTCGAGGAGTTGTCCTCCTAGGCTCCTTTATTCAAGGCGAAGCTATTGGCGCCCGCCACAGTTCCCTTGCTGTTGCAGGTAATCTGCTATGTCCAGCCTCATTCCAAGCGGTAGATTGGGGTAGACATTTCTGTTCATCCCCAGCCACCGACTTAGATTGAGGTGAGCACTTCTGTCCAGCGTCGGGATTGGTTTTTGTTGTTTCTGTTTTTGTGTTGTTTCATTCATGTGTGTTCCCACGAGTTGCCAGACAAGAGTTGGTCACCTCTGGCAGAGCCCCGCATTACCAGAGGTAGACTGATTACAATGAGAATCCGCCCAGTTCCCCAAGAGGATCTTTTGTGACCGCATATCACCCTGGGGCCATTCAGCTGTCGGCAAGATTCCTTACACCTTAGTTTGGATAGGCTGGTCCCCGGTGGCATGTTTCGCAAAGGCTTTTGGGGGGTTTTAGTTCCCCTCACCCTACTCATTTCTGCCACTGACCAGGAGTCCGGCGACCCCGTCCGTAGGCCACATTGGCTTACCGAACAGGGCCTCCAGTTTCCTGGCCGTTCCCCTATCCGCCACCTAGGTATCCCAACCCAGGGGGTGGATGGATGTTACTTAGGTACTGTATTTTAACTTTGAGATACTCGGGAAGCATATCATCCATGAATGTATATAAGAATGTGATATATTCTCCGTCTTACATTCAAAATTTCGAGGGACTCATGCATCCACGCTGCCGAGCATAAAATCAGGGTCAGTCCGTAATTGAATTTTCTTCATTTTTTCAGATCTCTTCCTGAAGTCACATATTCTACCGAGTTCTGGAAAAAAAACAATTTCTGGTTGTCCACATTTAATTATTACCACTGAAAATGACCAATTTCACTTCATTATGCTAGGAAATGAAATAAACAAGTTTACTCTGATATGCATTTGGTTAAAAAAAATTGTAAGAGCTTCAGTAACGAGTGTTTCCTCCTCTTTCAGTGATAACAGCTTGCAATCTATGAAGCAGGAGATTTTCCCAGTACAAGTATATGTCGCGTAGCTCTCAATTTCTGGAGCTAACACATGTCTCCGTAAACGTTCCTTAAGCTCATCACAAATATGCTGAGTGGGATTCAAATCCGGATTGTGCGCAGGACAAACAAATCGCGTTATTTGATCCTCGTCAAGATACTGACTAACGATCCTGACAGTGCGGGGCCGTGCATTATCATGCATAAATGTTGCGTCGTCTCCAAGAAAAGGCATGTATGGTAAAACACTATCTTGTAGAACCTTCATCAGGTACCTATGCGCATTCAGTCTCCCATTCTCAATGAAGACTAACTACATGCGAGGGTCAAACGATATGCCTCCCCATGCCATGACTGTTCCGCCACCAAATTGAAGTCGCTCGGCAATACATGCTTGAGCATTTGTCGCCCACTTGTCCGGCATAGCATAGCACGGCCCGTTCCGTCAAAATACGGATAGGATTGGAACAATGAAAATGAATGGACAACCGCCCACTAGCCCGGCACGGCACAGCCAAGAGCGTCCGCTACCGGAAAGGATTCCAGTTCTCCGATCCTGTCCGGCAAATAACGTTCGCCGGCTAGCGCTTGCCAGCTTCAACTTGTCCAAACGTGCCTGGGAAGTTTCTGTCTGTCTGTTTTGCAATTTCATCAGTTGACAGCACAGTGTCAGATGGTGCCCATGAAAATGGACGAGGAAAAATTGAGTTGCTTGTTAAGGCAGACGCTAGAATATCCAGAAGTTCTGAAAATTTGCCTGGAGTCATTCGGAAATACTGGAAAAGTTTCTACTCGTCTTCTGTCGGGTCGTTGAAAAGATGATGAAACTCTCCGAGATTAGCCCTCTAATGAAATGGACCCACATCCTTCTTTTTTGTGACTACTTTCTTCTTCATTCAATAATGCGGCTACTATAATGACGTCTTCTTCGTCAGAACTGCTAGTGATAGACATGTTTCTGTCACCGCTCGATGTCAACTAAAATTCCCTTGAAATCGAACAAACAACACCGTCAGTATGCTGGTTGTAGCTGGACATCAAGGCGATGCTACTACACGTCGCCATCAGGCGATGGACAGCGCCAGATGTGCTGTGCTGGACAAGTGGGCGACAAGCTTATCTCTTCCCTGGTCTCCTACACGTCTATCTGAGCCCGTAAGGCAGAATCGCGAGTCATTGGGAAACAATACACGCCTCCAATCCGCTACTGTACAAGCCAAGTGATCTCGTGAAAAACTCCGGTGTTCAGGGGGAAGTGACGGTCCAGTAGCTCTAATTCGAGAAGATAATGCAGCAGCACGGAGTCGCCTCCTAGCTCTGCCCTAACTCACCTATGTTTACATTTTTGACTTCTTGCAAATGACTTCGAAGGGAAACTGCCAGTTTTGTGGTACCGCCACCATACTCGTTCCAAAACCGCCACAATTCTTGCCGCAACATCAGAATGTATACTTGTGATGCACTGTTTGGAACCTTCGGTGTAGTAATGAATATTACTGCAGTTTGTGTGGAATTGGCCACGGTGGTAGTGCGCCCGACTCACGATCGGAAGGCCGTGGGTTGGATTCCCGCCTCAACCAGATATTTTTCTCGAGATAATTTAGCTGGTTGAAGCTGGGATGATTCTTCTACTGTTTTAGGAATCACACGTCAAATGGTAAGACCTCGTTAGTCCTTAGCTCGCACAAGTTTCTCAACTTCTGAGAGTTGTCGTTCGAATGGGGGCGACAGCTGATTATCGGAAAAACAGATTTTAAACAGATTTTTTCCCTCAAAAACCGTTATTTTTAACACCTCGACACGTGTTTCTGTTTCAATCACCAAGTGATCATCGTCAAGAGGAAGATTAAACTGTTTAATCATATTAGCTGAGAAAGTAGTTGTTTTTCGGCATCTCTCCCACGTACCTACTGTAGAGTTATGTTGGGAGAGAAGAGTGTTTCAAGATTTCATTTGAAAAATTAGAAATACAACGATCTATGTTTTCACCACTTGTATTTGTAACTAACGTTACTGCAGTTTCGTCCTATAAGGACATATTGATCGAACTTGGCGTGCTTTTTTTTGGTCATTCAACAATTCCTGGTCGAAATTTAGCAATTTTAGAACGAACTTCGCTGCCACACGCTTCGTGGCCAAAATTTCTGAAAAAATTACATGGCATAAGCCAACCTATACGCCGACATTTCCAGCAACGTATCTAATAGTGATTCGACGATTCTCCATGACAACTTTCTTCATTTTCCCAACATTTTCATCAGTTGTTGATGTGCTGGGGCGTCCAGAACGAGCGTCGTCATTCAGATCTTCTCGACCTTCTGTGAAAAGCTTGTACCACCTGTAAACACTTTTCTGAGTTAGAGTACAATCACCGTATGCCATTGTCAATATTTCAAGTGTTTTTGAGCACTTTAATTCATTTTTTACACAACACTTCTAACACTTCTAACTTGTATGCCTCTCACCAACAAACTTAACACGCTAAACAGCTAAAACTGTGAACATATGTTCGAGACGAGTGTACCAACATAATGAAAAATCGCTAATCGAACGTACGAAGCCCACGAAATTTGAATATTCACCTTAATTCTTCAATTCCTGCTCTTCCATGGTTACGTACCATGCAGACAAGGGCATTCGAACTTCTTATGATTTTACAGGCTACATACAGTAACATTCTGTTATATGGTATTATCATCAACACATTTCTATAAAGATTTAACTAATTTAAACTTCTTTGTAGTGTTGAAGGTGAAAAAAACGATTTGGAGTTCATTGAATTATTCTCAAGATGAATCAGACAAAACCCCTTTCGGTCATCCATCCTTTTTTGATATGAAAACATGTAATTTTCCTATCTGTAACACCTGATGCTGTGAAGTCAATATAAAATATTAACATCCTTGACTGTTATAATAACGGAATGGCTGCGGATGATATCTGACATCCTGCAATTTCTTCCGAAAAAACTCAATTGATATTAGATTGGTTCTGCAGCAGTATCATTCAGAGCATTTATACCCACCGGAATAGTTACACACTGAATAAACAGATGTAATTAGATTGATAATTTTATTCAAGTTCTGGGTTGAATCAACATGAATAATTCTTCACACATGATTGGATAGTCCAGGTCTTTTAGGTACCACAGTATCCCAAAAGTTCGAACAGAATCGAGACGAGGTGGGTTTTCTTATTCGAAAAATTCAAAGAGGTGACAACTCTTCTTGTCGTATCGATCTGGGGAATACAGTGGATGCAGGAGCAAAGCAAAGCCCATTTCATGCAATTTTGTCATCGTTTTCATTGATTGGTGACACGGTACATTGTCTTGATGAAACAGCACCTTCTTTTTCTTCAAAAGGGTCGTTTTTCCATGATGTCTCCCTTGAAAAGCTCCAATAACGCCATGTTATAGTCGCTGTTGATGATGTTTCCCTTTTCAAGATAGTCTATAAATATTATACCATGCACATCCCAAAATACTGATACCATAACCTTGCAGGTGACGATCGTAGTGATTCTGGTGTGAGATGGAGCCATGTTTCATCCATTGTCACATATTGATGCATAAATTCGGTTTTTTACATTTGTCATAGAAATCTATATTCCTCAAACAATTTGCAAGAGAACACATATTGTATAATGGAGAATTTAAACCTAAGTTGGTTCGAGGTTTAGGCAAAACAAATATATCTTCTCTTCTATTATTGAAGTATGTACTGCTTTTCACATAAATTTTTGAGAACAAGTGTGGATTAACTACTTTATTATGGAATAGCTCATAAAAAAGTAATAGAATCGCAGTTTTTCTTCTGAATTCTAAGGTTGTGAATCTAAATTCACTTGAGGAAGTATGATAACTGAGATTAAAAATATATTCACCATGTTTTTTGTAATGTAGAAATCATAAAAAAAATTTCTGTACCTTTTCAATTTCATTTTTATGAACTGAATAATAAGAAGACCACATTATTGCACCATATTCCAGTATACTCCAGACAAACCCATTAGAAAGTGTTAGTAATGTGGGTAATTTTGTGAATTTAAATGAGTTCCTAATAATAAAGCCAAGCATTCTATACGTTCTGTTCATAATGTCGGTCATATGATGCTCAAAAGTGAGTTTGTCATCCAGCATAACTCCCAAATCTCTACATTCTGTCTTCTTGGCTATGTACTCATTGTTCATCTTATAACTGAAAATCATTCTGTTGTTTTTTCCTCGTAATTGACATACTGAAGCGTTCGTCAACATTAAATGTAAGGCAATTTGCCTCATATTTGCCTCCAATACTAGTAGTGTCATCTTTGTGTTAGCCTACGAAATTTTCAGCCCATCTAATGTGATATCGAATAAATGATCTAGAATATTAATACAATCATTATTATCATTTTACCATAATCCATAAAGAAAGTTTGATGTGTTCAACATTCTCGGGATAATAGAGTTTGTATGTGTCTACTAGATAGCTTGTTACAAATGCAAAAATGAACATTCGACATTTCTCATCTAACTCAATACCTCCATCATCTGGGCATTAATATAGTCTCAAGCGAAATAATATCTTCGCACACTCATTATCGATTTTACAAAGACGATTTAGAGAGCAATAAATCCTACACAGAATAATAAAACATAACCTGAGAAATTACTTAGCTTCTATTCATAGCTAGTGGAAGGGGCATTTCCGTTGTTACCTTTTGATTGCAGTCATTTTGCACTTACTGTACAGCTTAAATTATTTGCGAGAAGCATTGTTTTTTTGTCTGCGGATAATCAATTAGAGTATTTCGATTTCTGCTTGTTAACGTGGATTGTTGTTCCTTCATTGTAAAACAAACTGAAATATCTCTACTGATTGAAGATAATGTCCGTTTTTATCAATTTGCTTAGTTTTCCCCATTCCTTCTATGATTCAGGTCGGGTTCAATGCCAGTACTAAAAAAGAGGTTAATGAATCATAATTTCACCTGGGTTCAGGTGAAAACTGATTGAAATTTTTTTAATACATCTAATTCACCTGACAAGAAATAAACTCCGTGACGGATCTGATAGAAAACATCACTCCATCATCTTAACTGATTCCCATAATTCATTGTTTCACGAATTTACCAGTATTTATATCTGTAGAGTAGGGAGGGTGAGTGTAGGCCCACAGCACTTAGGCCACATGTGACCCATTGTACATCCTCCCGAGAGGTTGTCCTCCTAGGTCATCGTCCATCCTGTCTTTTCCAGGAAGGTGGACAGGTCATTGGGAGACATCTCCTTTATATCGGCAGGTGTAGGCCAACACACACTCTCTTATTGACGATAACTCCGGACACTCGCATAGGACATGCCTGACAGGACATCTTCCTGTTCACACATCCTGCATAGAGGTGTGTCCGCTAGCCCCATATTATGAAGGTGTTTCCTTAATTGACAGTGGCCAGTCAGAATTCTACTGTTAGGCGTAGATTTTTCCTGGTCATCGCCAGATATTTCTTCGGCGCCAGCTTCCAAGGGTCGCCCAGGGTGATTCTGGCAAGATTGTATTTTTTGATTCCATCCCACCTCTATAGGGATTGAGCATGAGTGTGACGTTTGGCTAGTTCCGCAATTGTCGAAGTCATCAGGCCGTAGTTGCTACTGGGTCCTAAAATTCTTAGTTCAGCCGTTTCCTTGGCTAAAGGATCGGCAATGGGAATACCTTTACTCCTGTCATTCCCTTTAACCCACCTCAGGATAATGTTATTATCTACTGAGGCTTTGGCTAAATCATTGGTGGCACTCTAGTACTAGCCCTGAGGTAACACGTTGTCTGTTCAAGGCTAATAAGGCTTGTCTGCTATCAGCGCAGATTATTTGCCAAAAATTCCTTTCCTGGTTATTTCTTTTGTGGCGATTGAGATACCAGCCAGTTCTGTTTGGACCACGCTGGTATTTTTTTCCCATTCCCCACTTCCGGCACAACATTCCACGCCTTCCTAACTGGCTCCGTATGAGTTTGGATACGATTTTCAAAAAAATGATTGATAAACGTTCATATTCATGAAAGTACATTTCATGAAGTTTGAGGTATCTGGTTTTAAAGTCAAGTTGAGCTTGCATGAATGCTTTACTTCCGAGTTGAACCATGAGTTGTTATTGTGATTTCAATTAGTTTTTATTTTTGAATGGAAAACTGATATAATGAAGCAAAAGTACCTAAAGACAGGTTTATATCGGATGCACCAGATCTTTTTCCAAATGTTGGTAGCATAAAAATGCTGGTCCAGATGGAATCCCACCTGTCTTGTTAATCAACTGTTTCACTTCCTTTTCTGTGCCACTTAAAATAATATTTCAAAAGTCTTCTTTCTGAAGTGCAGCATGGTTTCTATAAAAAGCGTTCTACTGCTACTAACCTAGGTGTTTTCCAAAATTGTTTGTGCAATAAACTTGAAGAAGGCTTCCAGCTAGATGTCATCTACACCCATCTCGCCAAAGTTTTTGACTCTGTTAATCACAGGCTACTAATTTCTAAATTGGAGGGACCCGGAGTGGTTGGCAGCTACCTGTCATTGATCACTTCGTATTTAAGTAACCGAGTATGTGAAAATCGCTAACAATATATCCAATGCAATTAGAGTAACCTCAGGCGTCCCTCAAGGATCGCACATTGGCCCAATATTATTTTTATTATGCATCAATGATGTACTGACGTCTTCGAAAATTCCAAAGTCTCCCTCTAGTTTAACTTCATGGATGATTGTCAAATGATTCATACTGATATAGATAATTTTTCTAACTACTATGAAATGAACTTTCTGAACATTAAAGTGGGAAAGGGCGAGGTAATGAGTTTCTCTAAATCACATAACACTTTTGAGCGGAACTATTTCATTGATGATTCTATGTTACAACTTGTAGATAACATTTGTGACCCGGATATTGTGTTTGACAAGGATCTGAACTTCAACAATAATATAAACAATATTTGTAGCAAAGCCTTAAGAATGTTAGGTCCAGTAGAAGCTACTGGACCTAGAATCTTGAAATATGCAGGTAGGTTCTTTGTATAGCGTAAATAAGCACCAAGAAAGGAAATCACGAATTTCCACCCCCAAGGGGGAAAATAGGAGTTCAAAGATTGCATTGAATTTCGTCAGTTTTGAAGTTGAGCACTTGAAGTTTTGGGTTGATGAAAAAATATTGTAACTATTTGTTTGAAATGGTCTGTCACGAAACCTAATGTGTCAAACCAAATTATACGCTGCCGAAGCCGCGGGCAACAACTAGTAAATTAATAAACTGGCATTACATTCAATTAACAGCTGCAATCTGATTGTGATAACTATTGAGGGTATCGTGATCGTCATTTTCAACACTGCATGTTCCGTAGCTCTTTCGCTCGTTTTTAATTAGAAATAGTTCAGTATTTCATCTATCCCACGGCACCAGAAATATATTAACACCCACAGCATGAGTTAGATGAAGAATTCACATGACCACATAACTTTCTACTGGTATGAAAGCTTAATTAAACCTCCTTCTGGATTTGATCCGCTTCACTGACATGTGAAATGTTACCCACTCTCAATCTCATCCAAAAAAAGTGCAACTGCAAATGATTCATGACATGCATCGATGTATCTGATGAACAATAAGACGGAAAATGCAATGCCTGACCCACTAGCATTAATAATTGACGATATGTTTATTCTTTGTTTGATGCGCTTCTATAGGAGATAATGACTCTTAATAACTGTTTCTCATAGAGAGTTAATAGGGACCAGATGGAAAATGGCCAAAATTCATTAATTACACTAGTAACGGTGAATGCTTCCGATTAAAAACTTCATTTGTAGCACAAGCAGTGGAAATAGAAAATACGAGTATCAAGTAGGTCTGAGTATTTTGTTGAAAAATTAAATTCGAAAGCAAACTATCAGCCACCCAGTTGACGATATTGGAAATATCAACGTCACATATAATTTGAGATAAATTTTTTGTGCATAGTAGTAACAATGTCAGCTTTTTTGGTACAATGGACGACAACCTGAAAATATTAAAATTATTCATCTATTGAGGAAGACAACACAAAAGTAATTAGTAACTTGTTGTTTTACGAATTCACCTACGCAGAATATTACTGGAGTTTTTTCCCAACATCAAACCGTTATTTTAACACCTAGACACGTGTTTCGATTGCGTGATCGACGCGTGTTTCGATCACGTGATCGAAACACGTGTCGAGGTGTTACACACTAAAGATTCCAAACAGTGCATCACAACCACCTACACAGAAATGAAAATAAATCACATCCACAAATTTTATCGTATATCTTTGTGAAAGGAACGCTGACTAGTTCAAAATACATACAAAGTTGGTTATGGAAAACGTACCACAAGACATAATTAAGCATTTCTTGGACTTGATTGACTTGTGTCTGACTCTCAATATAGCTCATGTAATCAATATTGGAAATTTTGAAAATACATTATCACTGGCTATTTTCCTAAAGTGTTGTATTGTGCTAAGTAAATACAAGCTGTTTATATTATCTTTTTCTGTCCTATTTTGTTACATATACATATATTCAGTATCTACCTGAAATTGTATATTATTTTATAGTTTATAGTTTTATATGACTAAGTAGTGGTAGCTAATTTGTGTAATTTTGTTTGTTTTTTTTATTCAATTATTTTAACTAAGCTTTATGAAATTTGGGATAATGAAATTAATGCATGAATACTTCATTTTGAAGTGAAAGTGACAGATGAAACTTTCAAGATGGCGCCATCTGGGAAAAAATTAAATGGAAATGCTTCACAACCCTAGAATATAATGTCAATATCTTCAACTAATACAAAATGGCGGAACATTTAATAATTTCCTGAAGACAAATACATTAATATCGATATTTCTAGAAATATTCTTTTTTTATCTGCCATATGACAACTCCAACAACCCGACAAGGTTTGTTAAGTTATTTTTTGTTTAAGAAGGAAAGCACTGCATAAATAGTTTTAGCTTTAGGGGCACACAGTGTATCATGTCCATGAAGATCTGTTCCCGAAATATATTTATCTTTATATAACATGCCTAATAGTAGAGAAACAATGATAATTTTAGAAGTTTCTAATGTGATGTAAATAAACACATTGTTTGCGCTTACATTGCAAACACTGGCTGAACCCTACGAGATAGGTCAAAAAATGTACTACATGTACTACAGGTCTACAGAATGTCCACCATGATACGAGGGTTGCCTTTTATATTTCGGGATTAGAGAGAACAAAAACAAATATTAATCATCGAAAATGACTTTATTGTTTTTCAAAATATTCCCCATGAAGATCTATACACTTTTGCATCCGTTTGAAGCAATTGTTGAAACACTTTTGCCACTCTGATTGAGGTATCTCCAAAACATGCATTCTGAATGCAGCAACCGCTTCTTCAGGTGTCGAAAAACGTTGACCTCTCAGTTTGTTTTTACGTCTGGGAATAAAAAGAAATCATTCGATGCCAAGTCATGACTATACGGCGGATGATTCATCAAATCGATGTTTTGGGGTGCTCATAAATGCAGTTGTTTGAGCCGATGTGTGAGAGCTGGCATTGTCGTGGTGAAGAGTGATCCGTCTTCGACGATTGGTTTTCCTGATTTCTTGGAAGACAACTGGCAAACAAATGGTTGTGTACCACTCAGAATTGACTGTTCTGCGTTGTTCTAGTGGTACGGTTGCGACATGTCCAGTTTTTCCGAAAAAAAACAGGCGACCATTTGCTTAGAAGTGCACGTGGATCACAATAACCATCCTCGAGGAATAATGGCTTATTTACGAAGCGTTTATATGGAATAAACTTCCTGAGAACGTTTTTCCAAATGGACTCAATCTCCAGCGATTCAAATCCAATGTGAATCACTACTTTCACATAGGCGCCGCTCTTAGAGCGCTTTGAGGATTCTCCTGTAGTGCTTGTGTTTTGTCTTTGAAAAATAAAAGCGATTTTAAGCAATACAACATAAATCCTTATCCAATTAAGTACCTTAAATACATTGTGCATTCAATATTGATCAATATGACCCTCTAAAGCATGTAATTCAAAGGAATATTTTCGGAAATATTACAGATTTAAAATACAGGGACATGCAATGTTACTGTGATTGTCATTACTGAAAATTAAGCTATATTCTATTGTGATTTTTTTTCAGAATCTGCTTCCACTACCTGCTGGAGCAAGTGCAGCCCTTGTGAAACCCACGAAGTATCACTATTACCCCCACAACCAACACATTTATCTGTTACCAGAATGTGCCATACAACAGGTGAGAGTTTATGCATCATCTTCAACTTCTCGTTGAAATTCAATTGAAAAGTATCGCTGAACATTCAATACAGTCATTGATTTGTATCAAAAGCGACTTTGCCAGATTTTGTTTACATTGTTCGATAGTTTCATACAATACAATACAATACAATATCTTTATTCCTCAAAATGATCACTAATTCGAGTTCGCGTTTTTTCACAAAGAGCAGTAGTTATAAATATAGAGTGAAGGTACTGTCAATATCTTCCTTTGCTTGAAAACAGGTCTACATGAATCAGTATGACGTAGATTGTGAAGCATACGAATTATTCGTTTCTGAGCAACAAAGACCCTGTTAATATTTGTTGCATCTCCCCGTAAGACCACATTATAAGATAGAACAAAATCAACAAGAGCATAGTAAACATCTAACAGTTGTTCTTCACTCAGTATTTTTTTAAGCTGCATTAAGGCATAGAAACTGCTATTAAGTTTTTACTCACGTAGTCAACTTGAAATTGCCAATTCAATGAGTGGTCGATGTGAACTCCTAAAAACTTTGTGGATTCTGAAGGGTATATATTCGTGTTATTTATAATAACACGAATGGGATGTTCCACAGATTTTCTTGGAGAAAACTGTACCAGTACTGTTTTTTCTGCATTGACCATAATTTTTTTTTTAAGTTCCAAAGGACTGTCGGCTTCTGCGGAAATAGAAGTATCATCGGCAAAAAGAACTATCGAAGTAGTGCCGATATGTTGTGGTAAATCATTTATGTATAGTAAAAACATTAATGGTCTTGAGACTGAGCCTTGTGGAACTCCAACTTCCAAGTCATAATTACTCGAGTTTACATTATCCCATTCTACGTACATCTGTCGAAATTTCATGTGAGACATAAACCAAGATAGAAATTTACCTCGAATTCCAATTGCACTAAGTTTCTTGGCCAGTATATCGGAGTTTATAGCATCAAAAGCCTTTGATAAATCGAAGAAGAGTGCGGCCACAAACTTTCCTTTGTCAATTCCTCTATAGATATTTTCCAAGAAAGCTGTAGTCGCACTTTCTGTCGATCTATTGGGGCAAAATCCATTTTGACATTTGTTAATTACATTATGTTTCGTTAAGAAAGGAACTAGTTGTTCATAGATACATGTTTCAATTACTTTGCTCAACTCACTAGGAATAGTTATTGGTCGGTAGTTGTCAATCAACAAGGGATCATTTCTTTTCAAGAGAGGAACAATTTTTTCTAATTTCAAAATATTTGGGAAATTGTCGTCTTCCACAGATTTGTTGATGATATATGCAAGTGGTTCACATATATACTCAGAAATGGCTTTGATTATTTTTGTCGAGAGACAGTCCATGCCAGTGGAGTTTTGATTTTTGAGTCCAAGAATAACATTGTTGAGTCCAAGAATAACATAGTTTGGAAATTCAACTCTGCTTACCATAATTGCGTAATTATTTTCTCGTGGAATAAGCTAATTCTATAGAATGCATTAGAATTACTGATATATATTGAAATCCAATTTTACTTTTACGTAGCCCCATAAAGAATCGAGAGCGTCAGATCTGGTGAGTTTGGATACCATTCAATATTGCTTCCACTCATAGAAGTACTTTGTTCAAAAAATAAGGTGAATTTTCATTTTTCATATTTATTTATTCATCAATTTTTATGTTGTCCCCTTCAACATAGTCCCCCTCAGATATAATACACTCATGCCAGGGTTTTTTCCAATCGAAGCAGTTCTGATATGCACATTTTGGTATGTCCTTGAGCTCTCTCAGTGATTTGGTTTTTATCTCCTCAATCATCACAAAACGCCATCCTTTTATGGGTGTCTTCAATCTTGAGAACAGGAAAAAGTCCCAGGGAGGCAAATCTGGTGAATACGGTGGCTGAGGCATGATTACGGTGTTGTATTCGACCGCAAAATTTAAATCATTCTTTAGAGAATCAATCATTCCTCAGAGCCGTAGGGGACTGTGTAGCATGGTCAAGTTATTAGAAGCTCAAGTTTCTAAATGCATAATACTCCTTATTGACCGTACGACCAGGTGGCAAGAACTCTTGGTGCACTTCGTTACGGTAATCGAAAAAACCAGTGAGCAGAACTTTGACATTCGATCGAACTTTGCGTGCTTTTTTTGATCTTGGCTCTCCTAGGCTCTTCCATTGGGTCGATTAGATCAAGGGTGCTCAACCCCAGCCACGCAGGCCACAATATGGCCTAGGAAAGAATTTTAAATGTCCCGCGCACCAAATTGAAAAATCCCGCCAAATTGCCTGCCGCAGTTGTAACTCGTTGAACTGCAAAATCACGATAGATTTGAGAAGATACATACTTAAGTTCAATTTTTTTTCTTTACTTAGCTGCTAAATTTCATGATAAGATACTCTCTGTTTGTTCATAATATTACCTAATAAAAAAAATTAATTTCATTTCTTAATATTGGGTTTTTATTGCGCATGTCTTGAGAGTAACTGAAATAGGAATTGTCAGTGGCCCGTCGTGAAGTCTGAATCCACCGTTTAGCCCGACTGTTAGAAAGGTTGAGCAGCCTTGAATTAGACTTTAGTTTCGATGTTATAACCGTATACCCATGATTCGTCACCAGTAATGACACTTTTAAAAAAATTTAGATAACTGTTGACTCCATTCAACAATTCCTGAGCGATGCACATACGACATATGCCGACATCCTCAGCAACTTCCATAACAATTTTCCCATCATTTCCGTCAGTTGTCGATGTGCTGAGACGTCCAGGGCGAGTGTCGTCATTCACAACTTCTCGACCTGCTATGAAAAGCATGTAACACTTGTAAATATTTTTCTGACTCGGAGTACAATCACCGTATGCCACTGTCAACATTTCAACTGTTTTTCAGCACTCAATTCTATTTTTTAGACACAATTCTATACAAATTATTTGATTCATTTGTTTTAATAGCAGATAATCGTCTCTCATCAACAAACTAAACATGATAAATAGCTTAAACTGTGAACATATGTTCGAAAAGAGTGGACCAACATTATGTAAGAAAAAATCTAATATTCGTGTCATGTCCGACAATATTCATCTAGTAGCCATTGTAGTGGTTTTCTGAGAAAACCAAGTAATTTCAGTCGGATTCAAAAGTGAATTTACTGAATGATTACCTGTTGCTTTTTTTAGTTCTGTTGGTTTTGTAACCAGCGAACAGCGACACACGAAATCATGAAACCATAATCAGTTATGTCTAATAGTCTCATTATTTCAATATCTGGTACGTGAAGGACGGCCTCAAATCGAGAGCAATCTAACAATACGGAAACAGACCAATGCAAATAATTTTTGAAGGAAAAAAATGAATGACAGCATAAAAATAGTAATGAAGGAAAGAAAATAATGTGCTCGTTAAGAAAAAATAAACTGAAGTCAATCCAAGGTTAGGGGATGGAGTTTTTGATTTTTACCAAAACTAAACCTATTAGAAAAAGATGAATAGAAAATTTGTACAACTTTTGTATGAAACATTTTTCCATATAACCTAACATTTTTCGAGAAAATCGGAAAAACCAGTTTATTTGTTTTTGATTGCTTTCTCCTTCAAAAAGGAACCTTACCTTTTTGTGTTCCTTTGATGCTACGAATTTTTCAAATCTGAATATTCAGTATAACATTTCATACCTAATTAACCTAATTATACCTAATTCCCAACCCACATGTTTAGAAAACAACTTTTTTCAAAATCAACAGTGTAAAAGGAAAGTAACAAAATACTATAGAGAAATTTGACAGAAAATACGAATAACTGAAAAATCTTGAAATTTTTAATAAGTAGAAACATTTTCAGTTGTAATCCTTGAAAATGTATTTGAGCATTAAATAAAGCCAATTGTTGCCATATGATATATCGCAAAAAATATAGAAATGATTTGTTTTTTGAATATTATATACCAGGTTTCAGATGGAAAAAGAATATTTTCCAATATATAAAACTCTATTCATCAGAATCGAGTAGCGTTTATGATAATAAAATTTCTGTACTCCCAATGGAAAAATATCACTCCACAAAAAAACTAACCAGGACAAACCATCGTTGCCTCTAAGATAATTATATTTCTCAAAAAAATGATCACAAATCGTGTTCTACAGTCAATAGAAAAATATTCTTTGGATGTCTAATTAATTTCAGAATATCCCCGAATTTCAAATTGATATCCATTGGAAGATATCTTGTAGTCCTCCAAAAGATATCCAACAAAGTTAGTTTTCCATTGAGACATTTTTGATTTTGAAATTAAATTTTCTTAAAGGTATGTAATGCTGTTTACGTGAGACTCAACTGGACTCAGCCTCTGTGTGCCTGTCCCTCTAGATACAGAGATCCATGCTCAGCTTCTCTCAATTCAGATGATCTCCATACCACAGAACTTATGACAGATAGAAACTCAAGGGTACGTATCAAAAAGAAACGATCCGATCGTCAAGTTTCAAATTTCATCTACAAGTTATTATTTTTTTCAGAAGGCTCTCACTTTGGTCAAAACTTGCGAACCAACAGCTGAAATGAGGTTATGTCGGTCTCCAAGGGACTGGTCACTTCTAGCCCTTCAAAATGTGCGAAGTGGAAAATCACATTATCTTGTAATTTGCAGGTGTCCAGACTCAAGCATATTAGGTTTGTATAAATTGGTGATGATGAGCTTCTTCTATTATCTGATTTTTTCACAGTGGGCTAAAGAAAGAAAAATTTAATTTTTGTTAACATTGGCATACAAGATTCAAGGTTTGATCTGTTTCATCCAGCATATCTGTCTAATTGCTCTTTTGGCAATGTATCATCTACAGATACTGAATTAATGAGCTTTTTCCAGCACATATCCAAGAGTGCTAGTAATCAATTACTTGAGTAAGAAGCGATCATGCAATAAAAATTGTTTCGGCTGCTAGTATATTAATCGTATATCAACTCGTTGAAGACTATTTGGAGCGCATAAGATCACCAAAGAATGGCTTGCAGTTTGTTTTGTTTTCTTATAAGCTACATTTTTACTGAGAATGAATTTTTCGATAAAATTAGTCTGAAAACCTGGGTTTATTGGTTGAATAGTCTAAAAGTTTCGACTTTCAGAAAAAAACTCGCTTCTCAAAAATTTGCAAATTGGCAAATTTCGAAATAGAAAGATCTACAGAGCTGAGCAACTTTCGATACTTTATGAAACTCATCAACAATGATAAAACCATCAACGCTGCTGTTCCCCAGAGATCCATATTGTCGCCAACCCTCTTTTTATTGTTAATCAACTTGGAAAAAAACAAGAACCAATATATTGATTTACTGACGACAGCACACTTGTCTCGTCGTGCATGGGGTCTTTCACCCCGTGTGGTCACCTGGATTTACACTGCAATAATAAGACCTATGTTAACGTATGGCGCCATTGCATGGGGACCGAAAGTTCTACAAGCAACGGCCATCCAAAATTATATCAAATACAGCGACTGGCTTGTTTGAACATCATAGGAGCCATGAGAACAACACCAACCGCAGCAATCGTATTAATCACGGGTCTGACCCCTCTGGATCTGTACGTTAAGGAGATTGCGTTAATGGCCATGGTACGATTGCGCACGGCTGGTGTAAACCTCGAAGTAGGAATGGGTCAATTGAGGCTGGGCCTATGGTGGGAAGCGCTCACTGCGCAACCTCTGCTGCAGGCAACAAGTGATGCAATTGAACCCAAGTTTGTGTTTAATAAATCCTACAAAATACAAATTAAGCAGAACACTGAGTCAGATGATACAAATGTAATACGGATTTATACAGACGGCTCAAAAACCAAAAAAGGCTCAGGATGTAGAGTGTACTCCAGGTCCCTAAGCCTAAGGATTAAGTGGGGAATGGGAAGAAATACCAGCGTGGTCCAAACAGAACTGGCTGGTATCTCAATCGCTACAAAAGAAATTACCAAGAGAGGAATTTCTGGCAAAAACATAACAATCTGCACTGATAGCAGACAAGCACTATTAGGCTTGAACAGACAGCGTGTTACCTCAGGGCTAGTACTAGAGTGCCACCAAGATTTAGCCAAAGCCTCGGTAGATAATAACATTATCCTGAGGTGGGTTAAAGGGCACGACAAGAGTGAAGGTAATCGCATTGCCGACTCTTTAGCCAAGGAAGCGGCTGGACTAAGAATTTTAGAACCCAGTGGCACCTACGGCCACTAATTGCGGAATTAGCCAAACGTCACACCCATGTTCAATCCCTAAAGAGATGGGATGAAGTCAAAGGATGCAATTTTACCAGGATCACCTTTGGCAGCCGACGCCGAAGAAATATCTGGCGATGACCAGGAAAAATCTACGCCTAACAGTAGGATTTCTGACTGGCCATTGTCAACTAAGGAAACACCTCCATAATATGGGACAAGTGGACACACCTCTATGCAGAATGTGTGAACAGGAAAATGAAACTGTCAGGCATGTCCTGTGCGAGTGCCCGGAGTTATCGTCAATAAGAGAGTGTGTGTTCGGCGAGTCTTGGCCTACACCTGCCGATATAAAGGAGATGTCTCCCAGCGGCCTGTCCACCTTCCTGGAAAGGGCAGGAAGGACGATGACCTAGGAGGACAACTCCTCGGGAGGATGTACAATGGGTCACGTGTGGCCTAAGTGCTGTGGGCTTACACTCACCCTCCCTACTCTACAGACAGATAGGGAGGTGTTTAAGTGACTTGGCACATTTGATTCCACCAATGCGACGGATTGTGGCTGCTCGTCGTTTTGAGATTCAACTCGGTACATCTCGAAGTCCACTGTTTAAGAAGTCTTTCATTTGGAGAACGGCGCTTATATGGAATAAACTTTCTGAGAACGTTTTTCCAAATGGATTCAATCTCCAGCGATTCAAATCCAATGTGAATCGCTACTTTTGCACAGGCACCACTCTTAGAGCGCCTCAAGGATTGTTCTGTAGTGCTTGTGTTTTGCCCTTAAAAAAATCACTCATATGCGGGTGGACGATCCCGGCTTTTGAGATGAAAAAAAGGTATCGGATGAAAGCTACCTTACAAAAATTACTAACAACATACAGGGCGTATAATAAACGCGTGACTTTGTTCAATAGTAACACTATTCTTTTTTTCAGAGGGTCCTATGTCCCATGACCAACCCACTTACGCAAGTGTACCGGGAATTCGGGTTTTTGGAATGATGTGCGTTGATGGAAGAAGAGGAAAAAGGCAATCCAGACTACTGGAATCTCTAGAAGCGCCCCGATTCCCAGTTGAGAAAATTTCCGAATTATTACAAAGTGCTTCGTGGGCNACACATTCAGAACTCTTTGCTCTGATGAACATGTTGAGGGGGAGAAGGATAAAAATATAAGTACAAACATAAAATTCAGACTTTTGAGAATTCATGTAGTCGAGTGCAAAGATGGGCAACTCTTGGTTGCTCTACTATAATATGCATGATATATACATATAAACCTTCCTCTTGGATCACTCTATCTATTTAAAAACCCGTATCAAAATCCATTGCATTGCATTGGACAGACAGCTGGAAGCGACTTCGTTTAAAACTATGTGGTGATATACGAGGCCCCCCAAGGCGGTCATTTGCATAACCAAGCTTCGACATCGACCGCCGACGAGATTGTCCTCTGTTATTAACTGTAATTTTCACTACAAGACAACTAGTTGGGAACCAGAGCCCAAATACAACGCATATATAATTTAACACCGGACAGCGCCGTTTTGACCCGCCATAGTTCTCATCAGTGGTGCTCGACTGAACCAAAAAGTTCTCTGTCGGTCCTCTAGATGGCGTCTTCGTAAGGGGAGTTGTTATTGCTCTTACTTTCTTAAACCTTTGTATATAGTCTATATACAAAGATTAAACTATATCCATCCAGCAAACAAAGTAACCCAAACAAAGATAGATACGTGATCAAAACACGATCACCACGCACATTTGCATCTATTGGGTAAAACGAGCAAGCCTCCTTACGTTGGCCAATCAGATTCAACTGCAATCGGCTGGCGGAATTCATTTCACAGTGTCGGAGTGGTCAGTTACGTTTGAACGCCTGTGGAGTGTACTTTACGGTATTTTATAGTTCAAAATTCTTAAAATATCAAGTACGTATAAGGCTGAAGTAAATGCTAATTTGTTTCCCTACACTCCTCCTAAAAAATGTTCCTATACGCAGCCGCATATTAAAAAAAGTCGGTCGTTCCTCAGTGCGACTCTGTACAAGCAGCCTTGTCTGGGAGATCACGGGCACTATGCATGATAATGTTTTGGAGCACTCCGGTGCTTAGATGTGCAGAGTAATAATAATAACGCTGTCAGGTGCGTTTTGTTTGGGATCTAGTTTCCAAACCGGTCTATTACCCATAAAAATGGAACTTGATTCAGATTTCGCCAGCCTATTCTACGAGTTGATATTTCTAACAAATTTGAATTTCTAGTGCTAATATTTTAGAAAGTTTCAAGAGTTCCCTAGCACCAGTTCATCTGAACGTTTCTGACACCCCTCTTTTGTAAAATAAATAGGTACTCTTTGTGCTTCATGTAATACACACCCCGACCTGATATACTGCGAGAGATTGTTGAGTGAAATTGTGCATGATAATACATCAGCATCACGAATATAACAACTTTACTCAGTTGATAGATACAATAGCACACTGACAATTTTTCCCCAAATTTCATTGATGTGTTGATTCCACTTACAATACTCGATAAGAGAAAGTTCTAAAAATTTCACTAAATTCACCTGCTTCACATAATCATTTCGAGATGTTTAAGTAAACTGTGATCAAAACAAATTGAGGCATATAAATCTCAAGACGGATGATTTTTCATCATTGCAGATGAATTTATTATTAGAAAACCAATTCTGGGTATTTAAAATTTCGTCATGAGCCAGATTCACTATAAATGTGATATTTTTCCATTAATCAGCAAAGTAGTGTCATCTGCATACATGACGAAATTTCCTACAAAATCATCGACATACATTATATAATGCAGAGGACCCAGAAAAGAGCCTTGTGTTACTCCAATGGAGTTCTACAAATATTTCGATTATCACTGATAGATATCAACATATTCAGTTTGACTTTGAAGATAATTTTAATACATTCACATGGAATCTAAAACCATTTATTTTCTTATTCGTCTAATAAGATTTTTTGCATTGGAAAGCTTCAGTCCCACTGATATCACCCAAAAAAGCACCTTCAAGTTTGTTTTCGATACAGTAGCGTTTTGTGCGCTAGACATTCTGGAATGTACTATTCAAAATCAAAATATAACCTGAAATCATATTCAATCAAAAGTTTGTGATGATATAAATACCATTTCTACATGAAAAAAAATTATAATGATAATAAACCAAATCAAAACACGATTTGTGAATAAAAAATGTTACTGATCATTGTCCAAACGAAGTATTTCCTTCAATCTGTCTGTTTAAAATCTGTTTTTCCGTTATCCAGCTGTTGCACCCCTACAAACGACAACCCTCAGAAGTCTTAGCGTGTGCGAACTAAGGATTAACGAGGTCTTACCTTTTAACGTGTGATTCATAACACAGTTGTTTTTTGAACTTTCAAAAATTCATTGCAGATATGGATTCCATAATGAAAAAAAAATTGTATCAACTATATTATTTCACATCTTAAAAAATTTTTGAAGCAAACTATACGTATCACAATAATTTAAAACTAGGAAGTAATGTACAAGTGAAACAAGTATACAAAATAATACAGTGAGTAATTAAGATTTCATTCTTTTGCGTAAACCGCAAGATACTCCATCACTTTGAGTTTGAATTCTTCTTTGGAGTATCTATACATGTCAGCTGCCTCCACGTTGAGGGGGTCTTCAAAATTTAATAAATCCTGAAGGCAAGAATATCATTAAATAATTATACAGACAATTGATCATATAATAAATTCAAGAAAAGTTAACACTACAATCATTGATAACCTCAAGTGGTTGATTGTCAAAATAATGTATTTTAAATATCATGTGTTTCCATTATAAAACTATGATAAATGTTAAATTTTTCACATTTTACCATTTTCCAAAACTTTTTTTCATGTTTGCTGAATTTGTAAAAAGACACCATACTCAAAGTGGTGAAATGCAATGTTTCTGGCTGTTTTTCTTGTTCCATAATAAAAAGTAAAGAAAATAATTTGAATCGCCCAAATAGCAAAATTCGGAAACAATTCAACACTTCAGCTTACCGTAAATAGGGCGTGTAGGCCCCAAACAACATCATTCAGTCTTCGAATAGGAGACCAACCCATTCCGTCCACGCTATGTCTCCTCAAAAGGGATAAGCACACCTCCCCTGATTCGTTGATATTGGGATGCCACAACTTTGTCAAGCACTTGACTAGTGGAGGCTAAAAATAAAAGACATAGGACTTATTAATCTCTACACAAATCATATACATAATCATAAGACAGGTCCTTTCTAATTATACACACATTAAGGATATAAACAATAATAAAAATAAAAACTTATGACATGGTTGTGATATTTATAAAATAATTAAAACTGAAATTGGGTGTGAAACATCTTTTAAAATTGGGCTTTCCCTCTTTTTATGTCAAGAATAATATCTCGGACAAAAACATCTCTTTGAAAAACCTCTAAAAAGACAAAATACTTCTCAAAACAAAAACATGCCACACAAAAAAATTTCAATACAATTCAATATGAAGAAGTATGTACAGGGAACAATAAAAGAAATGCATAAAACGCCAAAATTAGAAAAGTTTTTGTAAGACATTTTTTTGGCGAGATGTTTTGGTCGTCATGTTTTTGTTACTGAAACTTCACTGCTGAGATATTATCGGCTGAGATATTTGTAGTTGAGAAATTATGAGGGGTACTATGACCGGCATCTTGAAGAGGATTTCCAATACCCAATGTTAGTAAAACCAACACGTAAACACCATTTTCGAAGAACACTATTAAATCGGTTCAATAACACTAAACCCACTTTGCGGGGTAATAACTTGGTGGCACACTATATTGCAGTTTATATTGCGTAAATAAGAGCGTAGAACATATTAACAGATTATATCTATGGAAATTCGATTTTAATGTTTTGAATGCAAAATAGATTTTTTTACAAAGTCGAATTGTACATTAAAATTCAAGTTAAAATCTATCATTCTGGGTCCAGAAACTCTGTATATTGTTGATCAGGTGATCATTTCGGCAGACAGATACATCTTTATTCATTGTTGTCAATGTGCAAAAAATGAAGCCTTACCACCATGTTATATTCATCAGTCACACATATTTCAAATCTAAACGTTCCTCCTTCCCAGTATCCTTCTGTAGGTTTAACTTCCAGAATGAATTTACTCAAATCATTTTCGTTCATATAGTGGACAGCACAACAGGCTGGTAGAAGCTGAGCCATTTCTTGGGCTTCTTTGACTAAAAGTCTATCTCGAACAGAAGCTCTTGACGAAGCCGCTTCATTAGTCTGCGGTTTTTGTTTCAAACGTTGCGATAGAGTTATCATTATTGAAAAAAATTATTTAATGAAATGATATACAAATATATTTGTGGTAGTTATAGAAACGTAGAATGTTGTCTGGAATTAATTCTCTGATTTCTGATACATTGTTTGTTTTTTTAAAACCTAACCAATTAAATGAACAACTGACTGTCCTGGCAGCTGACAGTGGCGGTGTGAAAGCAAAAGTGTGATGGTTAGGTTAGCATAATGTTCTTTTTTTTTTATCAATCATTTGGCCTCAACAACTCAGGTCAACCTGTCCTAAAAGAGGACTTGAAGATGGTACAGATATCAAAAAAATGTTATTGACTTCAAGGTTATTGATACCAAAAAATCTTGCAGATACAGTAGTTGAGACGAGTTTTTAAATTCACCAATTTGTACACTGATTGATACGATGGATTCATCTATTGATGTTCTTAAATTCGCCAATGAGTCCATCGACTGATCCTATGCATTCATCTATTGGTCCATTCTGAATGTTAGCGATTCTGATCAGAAGTTTTATGTTAAACTTAAGAAATCGTCTCTTATGTAGAGGCTGTTGTTGAGCACAATAGCACAGATTAAGTAAATATCCGTGACAATAGTAAGGTACACTCATAAGTTCTAATTAAAGAAATAGTATGAATGTTTCGAAAGTAATTAATGTGGTTTGGTGTTTCTGAAATCACCGCTACTGAGGTTCTACTGAAACACCGGTTAAATGTGAAATACAGTTTCCTAAAAACTGGTGAACCAAACCTCAAAATGCTAATCAATAATTTCGTTGTGGTGAGAGTGACGATTTTTAGACGACAAGTTTGAATTTGGAATATTTGATTGTCGAAAGGTAACTCGGTTACTTTCATGTTGCTTTGAGAAAAACACAAAAAATGTTCTGAACCAAATAGTTTTTGCAATTGCAGAGTGAAAAATTGTATATATTTCACATATCTAGATGAGTAAAACTATATGATTTTCATAGCAGTCCATCACTTCCATTTTATTAAAAAAATATTTATAATGTTCCATGGCACAGGTGCTTTTTAACAAAGATTAGTTTAAGTTATCAGCAAATGTCTCATTTCGGTTTTGAAAACAATGAACAGCCCAGAGTGAAACAGGTTTATTTGGACAATTATCGAGAAAGACATATGAAAACCTTGTACAACCAAAGTTTCATTTATTGTTGGCCGATCGATCCAAATCCCTTCTTCAACACATTTGAAAAATGTAACAGGAAACACATGCTCATAATAAGGAACTGAGGTCCCTTTTCACATCAAAATTTGCACCTCTTCTAAGAGAAACACAAAATTGTATTCAAATCAAAATCTCAGAAAACAACTTGGGTCATCATTATATTTCTTTAGTTGAGGCCACATCATTCTGTGACTTCGGAATACTGTGGTTGAGATTAGACGTAAATAATTAACACAGCATACACTAATGACAAATGATCAGAGTAGACAACTCTGAAAAAATACATGTTTTCCAAATTTCGGTAAGATCAACGTATGAAAGCGAAATTATTGAAAAAACTATTGTTACATATAGATTACGCCATGCCCTAACCGAACCAAGTGAACTAATTGAAATTTGAAAGGTAATTTTTCATGTATTCTGAAAGTTGGCGATTCGAATAGCACTCCCCTATTCAGCAGACGTATGTCAAGAAACGTAATTTTGAAACTATTTCAATAATGGCAACACTACTTATTTTTCCCGCTTTGTTTTGAAGTGTTTTCAGTTTTCCTATATATAAAACATAACCACACTACGAAGTGTAGTTCGCTCTTCAAACTATGGAAATTTGAACTTCAATAGTAATTCTGAATTGAAGAAGTCATAATGGGAATAAGTGGATTATTGCCATTTCTCGAAAAAGCTACAAAACCATGTCATATATCAGAGTTTAGAGGTACAACTGTAGTTGTAGACACTTATTGTTGGCTACATAAAGCTGCCACTGCTGTTTCTTTTCATTCATCTGATAATGATAATCATACGTAAGTATGACTAACTATAATTCAATTTTCCAGTTCACAATTTATCATATTCATTTATCATATATTCCTAAGATAAGATTAACAGGAATCACTCCCAAATTTCATTTCTTTATTCTTCGGCAGTCGCACCATTAATTTTCTCTTTGAATTTTCCAGCTATGTCAATTACTGCGTCAAGTATATTAAACTGCTACGGTCCCACGATATAAGGCCAATACTTGTTTTCGATGGCAAAAACTTGCCTGCAAAATCAGAGACTGAATTGAAACGAAGAGAATCTCGAGTTAAAGCTAAACATAGGGCTGCTGAATTGTTACGATTAGGTAAAACTGAGGAAGCAAAATCCTATCTGAAACAAAGTATAAATATAACTCCTGAAATAGCATCTGCTGTAATAAAGGAATGCCACAAGATGAATATAGATTGTATTGTTGCTCCGTACGAGTCTGATGCACAATTGGCATATTTCAATATAAAAGGTAAATACATTATATTCATTTGAATGTACTTGAGAGAACCGCAATAATTGTTAACTTTTTTTAATTTGTCAATTGTATTTTGTGATTAAGTTCTAGCAGAGCTTGAAACTTTTATAATCAGAATTCTTATTCATCTGTATTCTTGACATGTGTTTCACCAACCAAATGATTATCATCAGAAGCTCAATGGAGTTTTATTCAACCATGTTGCATACAAGTAGAATCATAGCGGCTCACAGTACATGGAAAAACAAATTTTAATAAAAATATCAGACAGGTAAAACGAAAACATAAATTACAGATCAAAATCAATATTTGAAGCAATCATTGTAGCTATTTCAACTCAGAATTATTTTGCCTAGTGGTTATAACTGATGTATCATCTGGCAGGTCATTGACTATATTGAAAAGGAGATTGGCCCCAATATAGGGTCCTGCGGCACTCATCTCTTTATATGGGTTTCTGTTGAATAATATTATTTGTTGTTTTCACTGGCACACAAGGCTTGAGTTTAATTTGTCAAATAGGAAGCAAATGAATTGTTGGTATTAAGAATGATACTCCAATCCCAAAAAAGTGTTTTCAATAAAACTGAAATTGATGTCATAGTGTGTGATTTTACTCAGCTCTAAGATTTTCTATTCAAAAGTGAATGTTATGAAACTCCCATAATTGGTTTCAGGAATTGCTGAACTAGTCATTACAGAGGACTCAGATTTGATGTTGTTTGGATGCACAAGAGTGATTTACAAACTAGATATGCAGGGTTGTGGTTATCTAGTAGAAGCAGATAAGCTACACTTAGCCACGAAAATTCGACCAGATAGTTATACCTTCGACAAATTCCGTTACATGTGCATTCTGTCTGGTTGTGATTATGTAGACTCCTTGCCAGGTATAGGGCTCAAAAAAGCCGAGAAATTCTTTGCGCTTACTGAAGAGACTAATCCCTTAATTGTAAGTAACACCTTGGGTACTGAAAGTTAACAAATGTCATGCCGAAGTAACTGATTCATCGAATAGAAAAATGTGTTTATTGTCGGTAGTAGTTGGTGCAATTTATAGCTTGATCATTTTCTAGTTTTTAGATAAAGTACCAAGATACCTCAATATGCGACACCTTCAAATATCTGAAGAATATAAAGAAAAGTTCATGATAGCCGATGCCACATTTCGCCACCAAACAGTGTTCGATCCGTTTAAGAAAAGATTAGTTCCTCTTACAGAACCTGAAGTTTGTGGTACAAATCCAAAGTACTGTAAAAATGCTGGAGAAATATTCAGTCATGACATTGCTTATCAAGTAGCACTTGGCAACCTCCATCCCACTAAACACAGTGAACTGAATAGTTGGTCCCCTACAAAAGCAGTAAGTATTTGAATTTTTTTTGCACCCAGTGCTTGTTTTGGATTTTCACAATTGTTAACCAAGGTCTACAGGATTTTGTTTAACGTTTCGTATACGACTGCTGTTGATATCGAAGGCGATGAGGCAACAAACAAAATATTCTGATTGTCCTAAAACCAGATACTACATCATCGGTTTGAATCTTTTCCACAGGTGATGGACAGCGGGTCCACTATAAACAAGATGTGTTACTTGTTATACAAGAGCCCAAAAGAAGTAAAACATAATAATACCTGTAAATGAATGTTTTCTTGTTTTCAGGGTGTATCAAATAGCAGTATATGGTCTGGTGTTTACAAGAAAATCATTCCACGGAAAGAGCATCTGTTCACATCTACTCCTAAGAATAAACCCAAATTTGAACACAAAATTGAAATTTTAGACTATGAGAAGCTGAAAGCTGAAGAGGATCAAAAAATTGAAGAGGAGCTTCAAGTATACTGTAGGAAGTCAACAGACAAGTCCGCATGTAGAATTGACATAGATGAATCAAATAAAGAATCTCCGCCTGAAAACAACGTTGAAACCTCACCTGTTTTAAAAAGAAATCCCTTCATCAAGAGGTTGAGCAAGTTCAAAAGCACCAGTAGCATAGAGAAGGGTATTATAGTAAAAAGTAGATTTTTCTGTCAGCCTGCTGAGGATTCAGCAAAAATAGATAAAACAGTTTGTGCAGACCAACAAAATAATGAACTGAAAACTGTTGAAATTGTATCCCCAGAAAGTATCTCACACAGCATTATAGAGTGTAGGGAAGAAACTGACAGTATTAAATTGAACGAAAGTATTGATGTTTTTAAAACAGAACCTTTTATAAAAGATGTTATAGATCTGAATGTGGAGGATACACATACAGAGGAGGAAAAAATCTGTGTCAATAGGCCGGAGTCCAGTATCTCTCAAAAGGTTTGCATTCACTTTTACAATATTATACAGAGATAATAAGGTTCATGTTTGCTTGCTAGCCATAAACAAATCGAACTTTTTCAATGCTGTTTCACTGAGATTCAAAGTTGAGTGGTTTTTGTTGATCCATGTCTCTCTGTCATATAAGATCTCTGTTGTTTCAACAAGTGCGACTTTACTTTCATTGGTGATGCTAATGTTTATATCATCAGCATATGTAGTGACGTGTACTCCTGAAAGACTGAAGATGTCAGGTCATTTGCTTACATTAAAAAAAGAATAATGGACCAAGTGTAGATCCTTGTTGGACGTCTTGATTAATTACTGACAACTCAATAAGAACAGTTTGAATCGTAACTGTGTTGCTTGCCTTTTAGATGTCTTCATTTCCAACGCAACCCTTGGACTCCATAACATTGCATTGCAATCAAAAAATCTAAGAATAGTCCACATATTTGTAATGGGTTATCTAGAGACATTTTAATGTGTTCATTGAAGTGATATAAAGTTGTTCCAGTGCTTTTGCATGAAACCATGTTGATTTGGCGAGAGGAGTTTAATAGAAGTGAAAAATAACATCTGGGGTTTCATGTGGATTTCAAATAACATTCCTCTAAAATTTTCATCCTTATTAAGGTCTCCTTTTTTGAAGATAGGAGTAGCCAGTATCATTATCAATTTTTTGGTGAAAAGTCAAGTTCCACAGAAAGATTCATAAGAAATGTCGAAGGGTAAAAGAGTTCTTTCGCACATTTCTTCAAAGTATCACTCAAAAATTATCATACCTTTCAGCAGAGTCCTATTGTGAGGAAATCAACGAAATATACCAAAAATTGCTTCAGCAGCAGTCGACACTGGTCATCAGAAGAGGTCCGATCCTGCTCCACAGCAACACCCATCTCATAAATCACCGAAAATGAGCTTCGAAGTTCTGTCTCACCCATCATACTCCCCAGACCTCTCCCCACCTCTATAACTTTCTCATTGGTAGAACCTCCTCCAATCAGGACCAGGCAAAAATGGTCTTCGTCGACTTCATTGAATCTCGTGCGCATAATTTTCATCCTGACGGAATTAATCGACTTGTGTTACGTTGACAAAAGTGGACTGATTCAAATGACGCTTATTTTGATTAAATTGAATAGGTATTCACGGAGATATTAATAGTTTAAAATAGACTCATTAAACAAAACTTTTGAAACGACTAATTCTTCATTTAAGTTAAACGTTTATTAAAATTATTAGTCATGTCCCGACTCGTTTTGACATTCAGCGATGGCAATGTCTTTGGGTTTGCTGTTTATTTTCTGAATGTTGGTTTTTTGGGTTATTTTATGAGTTTCTTATTTCAAACAATGATTATTTTGCTTTTTTAGTACATTTCTCTTATATTTCAGTGATTTGTTTCCAGATTCTTGCATATTTCAAATATATAGTTACCACATTTTAAAAATTCTGGGGTAAAACTGTACATTGTGTGATGTTTCTTTATAATATCTGTATTACTTTTTCCATATGAATGGTGTACAATTGCTGTATGATTCAATATCCAAAGGGTGAAGTAGTCATTTCAGATATACTTTTTCTTCCTTTTACATCCGAAATAAATAATATTGGTAGTTTTCCCTTCTCTAAATTCTCTTGGTGAACTAGAACCAAACCAAAATATGATTTTTCCCAATAATCTATCTATAAAAAACTTGTTTTCATATTTAGGTATTTAGCATTTTGTCTAGTTTTAATTGAAAACTTGGTGAATCTGAAAAACAGCTCTTTTCCCTAAAAAAATTGGCTTGTGTTGTAGAATAACATTTCCAATCTACTACTAGCCACTACAACATACGGACTTCGGAAGGATATTCACTGGGTATCAAATTTTTATCCAAAATATATCCTATGGACGTCTGGAGGACATCAACCTGGACGTCCATAAGATATCTATTGTTCATTTTTTGGATATCTCATGGATGATCATAGGATGTCCAAGTCCACTGTGGGATATTTTATAGACATACATTTCATACTTTGAGACAATTTTTCAAGTATTGTTTTACTTGTAAAGTAAAAGACTGCTTTAATTTGTCACTTACCAACAAACTGACGAAAAGCTTAACTGTTTAGAAAGCTAAACTATGATTAGGACTGAGGATGGTAATAAAATTTCCGTAATTTATTAAACATATAATAAATACACTTGAGAATACTTCAACTGAGAGGTTAAATTATAACATGTTTCAATAGTATACATAAATACCCTCGAAATTGTCTTTGGCAGAACATTCTTTTATAGGCAGCATAATGAAAATTTACATACCAAATATACAGACTCAATATACAGACTCGATATTAAAAATTTAGATTGATATTTACAAGTTTGGGAAACACAAGAGTTTTGAAAACGCTACTTTTGTGCAAAACTTTCGGTTTATCTATGTGCGAGATCTTATCTCTAATATCAGACTTTGAGAGATCTCCCCTCAAGCTCAAAAGTCTTTGCAAATGGTCTTCGGAAATATCAGGATATTTCTCCACAACTCTGTGGAGCTCAAAAGACAGCATATCATCATCACTTTTGAGTACTTCAGCCAGCATCATAACAGCATCAAACGAATTTTCACACTCTAAATTCTTACTCAAACTAGAGAATAATTGGTTGAAGCGCTCAGCTTCCTCCACTACTTTGCGAGCAGCTTTCACACACTCGTCGTAAGTTTTGAAAGAGGTTCTCTTGGAAAGCATGGCGGTTAAGTACCGTTTTCCTACGATGCTCACTACCTGTTCCACAACGTACTTGTAGTTGGCTTCAACTAGGCGGTTATAATCTTGAAAATAGTCTTCTATTGTGGCATAAATGGTGTCAGCGGGGTTCATGGGGAACCACTGAGCTGTGAAGAGTTTGTCAAAGTGTTGATCCAAATCGATAAGTAGTTCCTCCAGTAAATATTGTACTGCCTCACTTCGCAAATTCTGTAAACATAAACAAAGCTTATATAGGTGGACAAAAAGCCATACATTATTTCAATAACAAATTTAAAAAGTTTTCAACAGATGATTTTATTGAAACCTGGTGGGTTGAATGGGGTAAGTGAATGAAAAAATATAAAACTGATCATGTGATCGCCACTAGGCACCTTCATTGGAAAATTTTTCAAGTCACAATTTATGAGTATAGCTTCCAAAGTTCAATATTGACCATATTTATCACATTTTACAGTATATCATTCATACTTACAATGTAAGTTGTTTTCAACATTCCGAAATTCCTACTTAATTCATGTGATGCTGAGCTGGATATATACTGTTTTTCTAATTGTGAACCTAAATCAACTAGTTGCAGGCAATTATTCACGATAACAATCATATACTGCGTAAAATAGACTACCTGAAACCACATAAATGAAGAATTTGAACAAAATAGTTGTATAGCTTGTTTCAAAATAATTTGTTTGAGCCACCACCTGTTTCGAGAGGGTTACCATTTTTTAAATTATTTTTTTTAATGAAAGTGTTTTTCGTATACGAGGTCTGGTCAAAAAATAAGGTGAATGTTCAAATTTCGCGGGCTACGATTGGCGAATTCTTTAATTTTTTTATGTTGGTACACTCGTCTCGAACATGTGTTCACAGTTTCAGCTATTTAGCATGTTAGGTTTGTTGGTGAAAGGCATTAATGTTTGTACTCTGAGTCAGAAAAATGTTAACAAGTTGTACAAAATTTTCACAGAAGGTCAGGAAGATGTGAATGACGAAGCTCGCCCTGGATGCCCCAGCACATCAACAACTTCGATGATCGGAAAAAACGCTGGCAAAAGTGTATTATATTTGCGAAGGACTACTTTAAAGGAGATAAAATAGATGATGATGAATTGACTAAATATTTTTTGAGAAAAATGAATATTCACTTCATTTTTGAACAATACCTCGTATGTGTGTCATTGCCATATGTCGTTTATAATAATTTCTTCACTTGATTCCATTAAAAAAGTTAGAATTCAAAGTCGCCTACTTTAATCTTTGTACAACCCTTGCAAATCTCATTTGTTTTCTTTAGTGCTGCGTTGTTGCTGTCTACTTTATAATGAGTAATATACAAACTTAAGTAACAATTCTCTCACAAACAAGTGGTAAGTCAACTCTAAACAGTCTCTGTACAAAAAAATACCTGTTTTCTGTCTTCAAAATACTTATTTTTGAACTCAATAATGGCATCACGAAAAGATTCTGCAAATCCTATGACTTGCTGGATACTCAGGTTGAGGGATTTTATAGTCATGTCTTCACTAAAAATTAAATTATAGTCATCTGACATCCATATGGGCAATCTTATATACAAACAAATTATTAAAATATAGTAGTTGAACTTGATAATAATAATATAATAATGTTTATTTGTCGAATACAAAATTACACAGAAGCTACGTTACAACAAAATGAAGTTTAACGAAATAAACAGGTCTCGCAAAGCCTAAGCTGTCCGTGGGTGATGTTGGTTTGAATACCTACATAGTTTAATGGAAATTATGAGGAAAAATGTATTTCTTGAAAAAAAAGCTTTCGGATTTCTACTTCTCCATCTTCATTCAACAAAAATGTAGAAATCTTTCATAGAAAGAAAAAAAACAATTAATTTCAAAATAAACTCTTTACAAAGATGTGTTGATCATGGAATGAAGTAACTTCCGAAACAAATACTTTTATATGAACATTGAATTATACAAAAAACGTGTTTTCCTGTTCAGTTTGTACTCCAAACACACCTTATGGAATTGAATCAGATATTCTCAGGATTGATACACAATACAGTATATGAAAGAGCTATTAGCAGTGAAAGTAGTTGTTTTCTGACAGGCATTTGCCAGAACATTCTGTGTAGGTAGTTGGGAGAGATGAATATTTCGAGATTTTATTCCGAAGTATTTATTTTCTGTTCTCTCCTTGATACAGTCTTCAGAAACAGTAAGAATGGAGTTTACTGACCTGATAGTTTTGGCAACCTGAAGATTTTGGTCTATCATCTGAAATATGATGATGGGTGCAGCAGTACGTGAATATGATTCCAAATGAGGTTCAGTGTTGGATCTCCATTCTTCTTTTTCTGATTTCAATGTGTTTTGCATCCATTCATTATAATTGGCTTCAATGTTCTGAAAATTGGAATTTGGAAAAATAAGTTGAGTGTTATAAGGGAGAATTAGTTTGTTGCTGTCCATTGGACTACTTAAAACAATGGACATTGTGAAGTGCTTCGTTCAAGACAACCTATGAAACGTACCTTCAAATATTCTCCTTCTAGTCTGTCAGTTACCAGAGGTGGTAATAATGATGGTAAATTTTCTGTGTGGGCTACTAAATCTGGATGACCCAACATATCCTTAGATTTGTATGTCTTCATTACCCAAGAAAGTATTGTAACATATTCATTACCTTTCAAGCCATTCTGAATTATTTCTTGTAACTGAAAATCACAAATATCAGCTGTTTTTAAAACATTATAGGTTCATTCAAACATCACTTATTATGAATACACACATGTACAGATAAGCATCTATGATACATCTGAATATATCTTTCCATAATTTTGTAGCTTGGAGGAAAACACGGAACACACAGAATTTTAACTACTCTCAAATCCTCTAAAAGCGTCATCCTGATAAGTTCTAAATATCTAATTAACCAGTGTTTATTGTCTTCCCGCTCTTCCACTTGGGTGCCTTCTATTTTTGAAGCAACAGATTTTTCAAGAATGTGAAATGCCATATCTTTCCATTTCTTTGGACGACCTATAATTAAATTCATCAAGGTTCGATTACTAAAAAATGCAGCCCTACCTGGTGGAATAAAGCCAGTTTGCTTTTGCTGTTTCACTGCATCTTCATCGGCTTTCTCTTCTCTTTCTATTATTCTCAGTGCAGTTACAATCACAGTTGGATCTTTCCTAACAGTATTAAGGGTTCGAGAGAGAATAAATGTCAATTGCTTTTCCAAGAGATTAGATAAGACTTCAACATCAGCAAAATATGCTTTCAGCATAGATTTATCATGAACAGACTGGTTAGGTAGTTTGTGCAATTCAAATAGCAGATCATCCCGAGAATTCTCCAAATCTCTCAAACACTGAAATTATTTCCATTCAATAATAAAATTTCAATGGAATAACAGGACAGTTTTGATTTTTTAATATAAATTGATGAACTTTCTTCACCTGATGAGTGTGCAAAAGTTTTCCCTCGTTTATCAACTGCTTTGTCTTCTCTACACTTTCAGGAACTGTGAAGATATGTTTCAAGTTTTCTTTTGCAGTAACATATTGAGAGTGTCTCATATTCTCCTCTCTAACATCATTCAATCTCTTACAGAGCTCAGGAACATCCCCAAACAATTCCAACATTTTTTTCACACTACCGGAAATTAACAATTATAATGATGTTTATTACTGTAGTATATAGTAGTAAACTCCACAGTAGTTATAAAACTGTGCATGAATACTTACGTGACAATATTAGAAATACCTACCTGATGTTTATTTCAGAAACATCTTCTAAACAACGATGTAATTGATTCAAACCTACGCGGACACCATCCAACTGTTGCTGCATTGCAGACTTCAAGAGAGCTTCGACAGATGCCTTTTTTCGTGAATATCTCTGCTTGATTTGATCAATTTTATCCAACTGCCCTGGCCTGTTGAGGGTATTGATCACCTTAGAAGTGGCTGAAGCCTTTGCAATAGCTTCTAGTTCCCTCATATTGACTTTCTCTAAAATGAATATGCATGAGAGCAATAGTTACAGCTCACGGAGATTACATACTTGTGTCCATTATTTATGAATGATTTGTTTCTGTTGACTTTTACAATACATATATAATTTTGAAGTTTTCAATGAATTGTGAGTTTATGGTTGTTATTGATAACCTAACCTACAAAACAAAACACTAACTCACACCATAGATTAGAGGAACAAGTTACCGACACTCGAAATCGCGTGAAAACCAGTTATTGACCTTCAACTGTAAGGAAGAGACTGTCGCTTCTAATCTGGTTTACTTTGTGTCAAATATGGAATATCTAATCAGCTGATTCTGAATTAATTTCGAAATCTCGAGTTCTAAAAAAAATTAATTTTTGGTGAAAAATTCTCAATTACCTACATATTTACTCATACTCATTTTTTGTGTTGGAAGTGTTTCCGTTTGCGTTTTATCTTTACAGTCAATTTTCACTTTATGTCTGGAGGATTTTTCAGTTAGGAATAATTAATAAAAATAAGTCAAGCCAGATTATAACTACACTGAATTTGTTGCTGAAATTAAGGGGTGTTGAGGTTGTTATTCGGACAAAAGTGAATCAAGAAACACAAAATGGGAGTTCGAAGTGTGTATGATGATTACCAAACTACTATACTTACTTACTATATTTACGTTATATCCATTTTCAAATATGAGCAAATCAACCTTTCGATGATAGCATCGCAAGTGAGAAAACCGGTTCGGCCAAACTCGGTTCTGTTAGAACGAAAGAGACAACTGCTTGATTGTTATTGAACGCAAAATCGTAATTACTCTTGTATTATCAATAGCACCCATGAATCAAGAGATGGCATCAAATGTGTTTCAAATCCAAAAATAACCGAGGGTCTCCTCATTTCAAACAATACGATCTATTCACATAATACCGTGTTACGTGACATAATAAATCTTTCACAAGACTGAGGTATTCATACTGTAACCTGACTACAACTTCATGAATGATCGCGAAATGACAGAATTTTGGGAATGTCAAGAGGAATTTATTACTTCATTCATAGAAACGAGAAGGGCGGTCCGTCAAAATATTTTGGTTTTTTCATTTCGATTTCTTCATTTGTAACGTGATCCAATACTATGTATCAATACCACAACATAAAACTAAATAGACGTTTTTCAGACATATGGAGTTTTCATGCTGTGCCTATACATACGATCAAATTATTATAATTCATTATACTCAAGCCAGACATTGACGGTATTCACTTTTAATGAATTGCCATATTATTTAAGTTAGTTCCATGAAGAATAAACAATTTTCTAGTAAGTCAGAATAAATTCATTTTCGAATCATATTGCTTCACACTGATTCTTAAGAAAATACGATAGGATGGCAATACATACTCATCGTGAAAACAATTGGTTCTTTTTATTTTACTTCTCTGAAAATATCAGACTACTCCTGAACTTGAAATAAAAGAGAGGAAAGTTCATAATCATTCCATCCTTGTTTTCATGTAAACCAACATAAATATTTGGTGAAAAAGGCAAAAATACCAAACAAAGTAGAGACTATTCAATATATTTGAATTTGCAGATTGAGAATATCGTCAGAAGACAATGAAAATTTCACATTCTAGTCCAGAGCTAGTTGATCTTTTAAATCTTATTGGCAAATGCCTTCGAATATGTCTCCAAGGTCAAATGTTATTGCGGGCAGGTTATCTTTGAGAAGAAGCTATTGTATAGTGAAACACATGCGTTTGTAAAACTGTTCAGTGAATACTTTATGTATTTACATCAAGTATCCGTCGATTCCATCCATACTGGTTCAGCATGCGGTTCGGTGTCATTTAAATTCATCCACTCCGGGATAATATTAGTCTTCCTGTGACTATTAATAATTTCAAAAATATAAAGAATTAAAATCAAATTGAGAATTAACATTCATCATAAATGCAATTTAACATTGATTGATTTTATTTGATAAAAAAACTTTTTCGATAATCTTTCAGTGATATGTTTTTAATGTAATGTCAACAGCAGTTTAATGAAATAATAAAGGGTATTGGCAATCATTTTATAATTCATAAAAAACAAAAACTAGTAAATAACAATAAATAACAGTACCAATAAAAATTACAAATATGTTCAAAAATAAAATACATAATCTTTTCATACAGTTTTGTCTTGAAACTACAAAAAATTATCCTCTCGATGACTACACAGTCGTTTTCTTACACAACCAAATTCAATCTCAGTGTTTTTCACAAAATACGTACAAAAAAAACACTATATTTCAAATTGCACATCTATTCAAGGCGAATTGTAGCTAAAAAAGATTTTAACAACACCATACAACACCAACAAAGTACCTACACCATATGTTCTGACAAATGTCTGCCGGAAAACGACTACTTCCCCGGATAATAACACGCTGATTGAATTATACCCGGCATACATTTATGCATGATACCCCACAGAGGGTCTCGCAAATGTTTCTCGTTCCTCTAGCAACAGGACCATGCTGAAATTATTCGAGTAGATCACCTACAGGCACGGTTTCGGGGTATTACCTCCTGTCAGTTTCAAACAAAGTGCTTGAGACTCGATTGAATGTGGTATCTTGCATAAGTGCATTTCATTTTGAAATATTTATTTTCTTAATTGTACGTATCTTCCCTCGATATAGTCTCCAAACATATTTTCAATTTGTTAAAATGTAAAAACTTTGTAGAATTGGCAAAACAGTTTTTCATTTCAATAGTTTTTTAAAGATATTCTACTTTTATCAATATTGTACGCATAACTTATTACTTGTTATCAAAAAAGAAAATGACTGTGCAATAAGATCCACACGGGATTGTTAATATATATATTCAATAACACTCCCTTTTGTTATCACAATTGGGGAAATATCCAAAGTATTAAAAATATGTGAAGGTGAAAACCTTGAGAATAGACCTTTACACTTTACAAAGAAAAAATGATAACATCAATATTACTAATTAGTTCTGTAAGAAAATGGTTCATTCATTATGAAGAAACACCCAAATTTTTCCATTTCGAAGGAAAATCAATGTTTCAAAAATGACTGTGACGTCACTACCATTGAACTTACCCCCCTTTCAAACCATGTTCCAAAATGTATAAGATTTTTGTAAAGCAGAAAAAATTACATGAATAAATATACGATATAGCTATTAAATTAGAACTACACAATCAAATAACTCCAGGACAAAATTACAATTATAAAGTATTTGTTTTGTAATAGGAAATGATTCTTAATTTCGGAACTAACCATCATATTGACCTCGAAAATGAATTGGCAACGTCGCACATACAATCAGAACAACATGAATAAGTTTTACGGTGTTGCCAAGATCACAAATGTTAGTGACGTCACGACTATTATTTTGACTTGAAAAACCTACTGACAAAAAACTGAAAGATATAAAACGAAGTACTATTATACGACATGTAGTTTTCACCTATGCGGTTATTTCAATATCAGTGTAAAGGCCCATTTGCATAAGAATGCAATTCACTACCTCATTTCCAATATAATTTTCAACTTTATTTCAAAAGGTTGGCAAGTTGTGCGACAGTATGCTCTTGAGCAAGTGCTGCTAGTTCTTTTACCCACTCATCCAATAGTACGGCACAAAGTGCAACATGCTGGCCCTCATTGAACTTTGGATAGATGAGATTGAACTGCATGTCCTCTTGGGAAGATACTAACGAAATGCCAGTTTCAACCTGACTGGGTCGCCTTCCAAATAAACTACTGACTGGAGGTATATTGAAACTTCTTCTTTTCGGACTGTTTCTCTGGAATGGTTCGTTTATTTCCAGTTTTTTCAGTGTCCTCTGTTCAGCGTGGTACCTTCTCAAATTTACCAACATTATTTCTCTATCAACTAAGCAATCACGGGCATATTTGATCAAATGCACTGCATCTGACTGTCGGAACATATACTCGTCAGTTTTTTGTTTCAACACTCCAATAATCTGAAAATGTTACAAAAAAGTACACATTAATTAAAATTATTGTAATTTCACGAGAAGATAGCATCTGACAATGCTGTCATTTCATTTTATAAGCAGCTATTTTTCTAATAGGATCTTTTTTTTATTGAAATCAAATTTTGATCCACTGATGGTTGATTTTGGTGTTCCTCAAAGATCGATTTCAGGCCCCCTCTTTTTTTTATTATACATTTTGAACTTTCATCAAAAAATAGATAATGCCACTCTTCATTACTATGCTAATGATACTGAACTTTATATGTCTTTCAATTATTCTGAACTCAAATTAAAATAAATGGTAATTTTGTTATTCAATTCATTATCCATCAAAGTGATGAATAAAGATGCTCTATTATTATTATTATTAATAAATATTTTATTCGGGAAGACAGGGCACTAAAGAACACCTCAGATGATTATGAATTGTTGTAAGTCGTCTGAATATGTTTTTACTTTATTTCAAGAATTTTTAAAGCATATATCATTTTGACATCTTAGTGCGAAGAAACTCAATATGTTTGGCCAAGTTGAGGTTACAGTTAATGACCAACCCAAGTATTTGTGTTTGTTCTTGATATTCAAGGATTGTTTCATTTGAAGAAATAAAAGGTTATATTGTTTGAAGCAGTACCCACAATCGTTGACGCATAAGCATTACTTCATTGTCCCAACTGTAAATGTATTGTTTTCTAACTTCTATACTTGAATGAGTTTTCAAATGAACTGAAACTGATTTGTTACTTTGGTCTAAAACTGCCAGTTTCTTGCTGTTAAATACCAAACTCACCGTATGCATGTTACTGAAAAATATTTTCTATAGTTTCAACAATATCTTACCTCAAATAAGGATGGCACATTTGGCTGTAACACTAAACTATGATCTAACAAGTATGCCCGCAAAATCGGTTGGGGATAGGCAGCAAGTCTTGAAATCAATCCAGTCAAGTGTAAATTGATATAAAAGGAGTTCGACAGAAAATTTTTCAACTTGTCCATTAAAATCGATAAAAATGGTCCCGCTGAAGGACTGGTCTGTTCGATTTCGTCGAGTTTGATAGATACTGGGGCATCTTTTTTATGCCTGAAATTGCTAGACGATTGCCAATATTCTTCTTTCTTCGAATCATCTATAGTCAGATTGAGACTGTCATAACCGCTACTTCTTTCAAATGATGTACTGCTAGAATTCTCTGAAAATAATGAAAACTTTCACAATAATGATTGATCACTTTGAAATAGAACTACTTCCCAAATTTGTGAAAGCAGGAGTCATACTATTTCATCACAATGAAAAGGAAATAGTAATCTTGTGATATTTTTGTTTTCCTTTTCTTTTTTTTTTTGTTTTTTTTTTCAGGGTTAAGTGGAAGAACATTTTCCGTGATGTATTGTATTACAGACGATGAACTTCGCCCTTCATTTCAATTGCTAGTTGAATATATAATTTATGTTTGAGTGTTTGTTTTGTGTATGAAATAATAAAGGCGATATTATTATCATTATTATATTTTTAGTAGTTTGAAGTTGATGGATATTAGTACTTCATGTTGAATATTTGAAAAAAATTAAAAAAGGGTTTTCAGGTTGACATTCTTGGCAGAGTTATGGGTGTAAACTATGGTATACTACAGGATCTATTTTGGGACCATTCTTTCGTACTGTACTTCAATGATATACATTTTTTTCGTATCTAATTACTCAAACTGACTTAGACTATATATTACAAATATTGAGTAAATTCATTTGTGGATATGTAGAGTTGTTTTGCACATAGAGATTTTCATTTTTCAGTAAATTATGTAATGCTGTATCAATAAAATAACCTTCTTTTATAACTCTATCTCCCAACAATGAACAATTGATATTGTTATGTTCCAATACAATTTTAATGTATCTGAGAAGTACAACAGAGGATATACATTCTAATTCAAATTAAGAAAACATTTATTAAATCAGATTTAAAGTGGAATTGAAAAAAACTTTATAAACTGTCTTACAAGTGATTCATCACAGTTTACAATGAAAATATCATCTGTAACGGTTACAGAATTTGTATATTATTACAACTAGTGTAAAAATAATGATGACATTGAAATGGAAAACTAGGTTTCCATAAAAAACACGAAAAAAATATTAGAATCCACCTCAGCAAGTATGTGTTAGTTGGGCATATTAGTGGTGTCTTAATATTCGGTATTGTAATTTTATTATCTCAATCAAAAACATTACTCAACAGCTGTATCAAACTCACCTGAATCATTAGAAATATCATCTTCCCCAGTATATGAATTATTCCAGGCTGTACAAGCCACTTGGCACCTTCCAATCTTATTTCTAGCATCACAAAGATAAGCATAATATTTTCCGTACAAACTTTGTTTATTCTTGAGCGCATTCCACTGACTATCGTTTCCTCCATCGACATTTGTCCCTGCTACTAACTGACAACATCTTGGGGCAAGATTTAAAAGTTTTTCGAAACTTTCGCAGTATGGATCCAATGGCAAGAGGATTTTCCTTTGCGACGTCATGAGATGTAGGCAGGGTTGCAGATGTTTGAAGACCAGTTCCAACATAAGATCCTCACAATCTAGATCTATCATTGATTCGAAAACAGCCAGTGAAACCAGGCATAACTGTCTATTGGATGAACTCAGTCTTTGTATCAAAATGTTCAGTAATCTCTGCCCGTCAAAGTCAACTTTCAATAAAAACTCTAGCAAAGAGTGCAGTAAACCTGGTTGCGTAACTGTCCTCAGAATGAGTTCGAAGTAAGCTGTTGCAGCAATTTGCTCATCCACGTTGGTTCTTAGTAAAGCCGGACCAAGAACAGGTATCAGAAATCCTCCGTACAAAAACTCTTGAACTTGTTTCCTTATGATTGGGTCTGCTACTTGAGCTACAGCATTCCAAAACTCCAATGAGGTTACGAAAGTTAACAAGCCTTTGATTTCATTCACGTCATCTGGAGTGAATCTATGCCAATCAGGTACTTTTATATCATCTAAAATATTTGGTAACATCGAGTACAATCCACTCAGATCATAAGCTACTCGTACTGCAAAATTAGAATGCTCTGAAATGTACACAGCCACTTTTTTATTTTTTTTCGATAACGACATGCATAACAAAAGGGCATCTCTTGCCCTCATGCCAATAGGGTCTTCTCGATGGACGAATTGTATCAACAAAGCGAATACTATGAAGCTGAAATAAAATTATCATCAATATCTAGGAAAATGAGATTTGAGAGAATTTTTCATTATTCGGGCTTCACTATAATGAATGTCTTTGAATGAAATCATGGGATAAAAGTTTCTCAGAAATTTCATGGTATGAAACTGAGAGCAACAGAATTTTTCATTAGGCCATCAATCATGACATGAAAATAGAGTTGCAAATGTTTNATTTTAAAACTAGTGCAAGCTAAAACGAATATTCACTGGAATGTTTTTAATACCTTCCTGATCGTATGCTCCATTCAAATAATTTATTTAGAATATTTTCTGCTAACAAGTGTTCTAAACAACGGGATGATGATATTGATATGGATAGTCTGTCATTTCGTTTTATATCATATTGCAACAATGTAACCATTTGCTCCAAATGATTGACAACACCTAGAACATCATCATGTTGAGGCAGTTGCTGAAAAAAAATTATTCTGAAGTGTTTGATTTGTTGATTCTATCTAAAACCAACCTGAACCCTATTGAAAATTTTTAGAACTTGGTGCCAGTGCTCTTTAAAACTATCATAACATGCTTGGGGATCACATTCATCATCCAAATTGATCAAGGCCTTTGGGTTCCTTGTGGGTAATAGTGAATTTAGCCATTCCATATTATATGCTTTTTCATCACAGAAGGTTCATTTTATCTGTACAAATATTTTTGTTTACCACTTCACAAAAGAAACCCACCCCAGAAAAGAAAATTGACAAGTTGCGCTAACTACGTCACTGGTCACAATGTCGCCAATAGTCAAATATTAACAATTGTTCTCTTCGAAAGGATAGTCAAATTCCTTAAATCTTAGTCATGTGTTCTTAGATGGTAAATATGTCAACGGTCAACATCTAAAAAACAGAAAACCATATCTCCGAAGCCTGATATAACTTTTACATTTCTCAGTTATGTAACCGACTGATATTTTATTTTTCTCTGTGTTTGTGTTTAAAAAGTTGTGTAAAAAGAATCCGTTCTCTATCACTACTTTATTCTTCAATAAATTGTACTTACGAAATTGTGTTCACCAAATTAATAAATGTGAGTAAAATGATGATTCATCAGTACACAGAAGAGTAGAGCAAAAGAAGAGCACTGATTTGAGACCAAAAAAACAGACGCAGGGTTGCCAAATGCAAGAAGACTTCAATCCCCGGACAAAGCTACTGTTTCATGGCGGCAGTTGTGAAACAGAAGTAGTGGTGGTCGTATGTGCCTGAGAAAGAAGCAATGACCATACTATTTAACCTGTAACCATATAATAATAGAGAGAGAGAGAGAGAAAAACATTCAATATGTTCAAGAAACCTTTTAAAATAAAAACTAACACGCAGTCTAAAGCGACCGAAAGGTAAATAAAATAAAGTGTTATCCGCTAATAACTTAATTCATTCAATTTGTTTCAGGAAAAATTTCAAAGATACCTTGCTGAGAAAATTTCCCAATCTCACAGAATCAGAAGTGAATGACTTATTACCAAAAAAAGAAGCACTCAATGTGGTAAAAATTGTAACCCACAGTAATGTAGTTGTTAATGTATATACTGTTCAGAAAAGACCTGTGATATTCGAAGTCGAGGGAAATATATTCCCTACAGTATTTTTGTTATGGAAGTTTCCACATTTACTTTATTCATTCACGACTCATCAGCAAGTTATGAGCTTTATATCGTCCGGAGCAGACCTTATGTTACCTGGAGTCGTAACGCCTCCGTCCCATTCTGGATTACCTAAATATGGTAGCGTTTCTGAAAATGACATAGTTTATATTAATATGTCTCACAACAAAGCAGCTATTGCAGTTGGTTTAGCGAGTCAGAGTTCGGCTGCCATGTTGCAAGAGAGCTCGAGAGGAAAGTGTGTTAATATTTATCACTTTTATGGAGATAATTTATGCACATTGGAAGGTATGCCAAACTGTCCGATACCAATCTTAGGTCCACCGGAGTGGCTACAATTGAAAAGTTTTGATGAGGATTTTCCAGCCCTTGGTGTATCTCAGAAGCAACTGTCACCAAGCGGAGACGAGAAACAACTACTTCCTGTAGAAGATGAAAAAGACAAGCCAACCAATAGTGCCAAACAAGAGCCAGAAACTGAAGTTGAAATTGTAGATTCAGTTGATGATATGGATAATTTATTGTGTTACTGTTTTCTAGGAGCCATAAAATACACAAAAAACCTCACCTTACCAGTATTGACTTCAAATTTTTTCAAACTCCATATGCTTCCTCTTTGCCCTTCAGATAAAACTTTGGATATAAAGAAGACTTCCTATAAAAAATTGAAACCATTTCTGAAGAAAATGACTGAGGTTTGTGATTGTTAAATATACTATGAGCAAAAGCCATTTCATATGGAAAAATCACAGTATTCGTTTCAGGAACTTTTCACCTTCTGCCATCCGAAAAAATTGTAATGGAAAACTTTATACAGGTGTAGAAGGAAAAACTTCTTTCAATAAATTGTTGTATGTTGCCGTTACTACGTCATAGGAGATCATAATGAAAAATGAGAAATCAAACTTCCTATGTTTTTACTACCTGTATTTGTAAACTAACGTTACTGCGGTTTCGTCCTAACGAATTGTATTCATTTGAAAATGTCCGTATGGGACAAAACTGCAGTAACGTTAGTTACAAATACAAAATATTTCTGATTTTTTTCATGGGAAAACTTCTACTTCATCCAGATAGTTACTGCATAAATTCAATATATTTTTTTCAAAAAATTCATTGCTCAGAACTAGAAGTCCACCCTTTCGCCACCTGTATACTCTACTAAAAATTTTTCAGGGTGTGGAAAGTTTTGAAAATGGTCAATAAAAAGATATACTGCAGTCCGTTCTGTTCACTAAAGCAATTTCTTACTGATGTTTCTTTATAGGATGGACTTATCACTGTGAAAGAAATAAAAGGTGGAGTTGAAGCAATAATTGCCATCAATAGGGACCACCCAAAACTTCAAGAATTCTACATAACTCCTAGTGATAGGCCTAAAAAGGAAACTGAAGAAATTGCAACGGCAACTAATGTTGTTGAATCTTATCTCATAACAGATAATGTATTACCCATATTTGAAGGCTGTAGGTAATTATTTCCAGTTGCGTACTTTCAAAATTGATTTCATTTCATAAATCATATTTTAGGAAAGGGGATACTGTTCAACCATCAGACGTGAGACGTCATGTCACTAATTATGTGAAAGAAAATAATCTACAAGATGAAAGTAACAATAGGTAAGAAAAAAACATGAGTGGTTCAAAAATAAAATTATGCAACACTTTTTGAAATTTGTAACTTTCAAATTTCAAGGAGATAACAAAGTTTCTTTGTGCTATTACATGTTAGTCTAATTAGAAATTGTTATTGATAATGGATATTATTAGGACTTTTTGTTCACTATGGTATGGCCATTTGCTCCAATTTCATCTTTATCAAATCCTAAAGTGATTAGATTCATTACAATTTTTTTGTAAAAATGTATAAATCTGATAGTTGCATTTTATTCAACATTGTTTTCAGGCTCCCAAAGATATATTTATAAGAATTCATTTTAGATTGCCACTAATAATGATATATAGAAGAACTAGTGCCAGTTTGCCAAAAGATCATTTGAGAATGTGGAATTTGTCTTTACATTCAAAAAGCTACCCCTATTGTCTTTTATTCTTTGAGGAAATGTTCTCCTCGTTTGGCCAATATAAAATTTTGGGCAAGAGCCAAAAATCAACTTATATACTCCTGATCTATCCAAGACTGACATCTTTTGTTCATTGTTTTTATTAAATTGTCTTGAATTATTATGCGTTCTGTAAGCCACATACACATTAATTTTTTTCAAAAATCCATTCTTTTTTATTTTCAGGTTGGTAAAACCTAAGAATATCCTAGCAACTATTTGTAAAACTGAACATTCAGTTACTTGGGAGGAAGTTATAGAAAAAGTTTGCGCTTCGATGAAGAATTGTTATAAAGTTAAATCTGGCAATGAAGAAATCTTGAATAAGGGAAAAGTTTCCCCTATTACCATTTCAGTAGTAACCAGATCTGGAAATAAGAAAGTGACTCTAGTTGACAATTTGGAATTATTCGGTGTCCGTCTGAATGAATTTGCCAAGGAGTGCCAACATGGAGTTGCTGCAAGCACTAGTATTAGCAGACCTCTTGGAAAGAAGTATGATCAACTTTTGGTACAGGGGAACCAAGTGCTTTTCGTTTATAATTTATTAGTAGGTAAGTCTAAAGAAGCATTAACTCATTGTTTAGGTAAAGTAAAAATGTGCTAATCTATTGCTTAATATTCCCTTTTTGTCATCTAGTTTGATGTTGATACCTTAATTTTGCATATGAAATGCTTATATTTTTATGCTAGATGTTTTGTCTGCTAATGCAATAGACATCAAAACTCCTCCTGGTACAAACTACATTTTTCGGAGTTTAGCTTTATTTCATCGGCTATGTCATGGATTCTTTCCTATTTGTTAGGCTGATGACCTAATTCATGTATTGTTGATAATAATTATAATAAACATGCTTCATCGTCATAAAAGTTACTTTTGACAAAGAGTGACTAGTAAAGTCCAAATTTTACCATTCAAGTCAATAATAAAATATTGTTGATATACATAACTAGAGTCGAGATGGGGATAGTGACTCTAAAACTAATTTCACTGTTTCGAATATAGTGAAGAGTAATAACTATTTTGTTTTATGTTTGATAGATAAGCAAACGGTCTTTAAGATGAACAGTGCAATGACAGTAATATTTGATTGAAAGCAAAGAGTTCTCTACAAAAATATCTGGGTTTTACCTTAAGAGGTACCTAATAGCTCTCTTCTGTAGTAGCAATACAGAAAGCAGAATGGTTGGACTACATGCTCCCCAAAATGTTATTCCACATCTGAGGTCCGTAGAAAGCAACCTCATTGAATAACATCCGAAGTATGTCTCTTAGATGTTTAACGTGATCATCAACTTTCAGCTTATTATCAATAAATGTGCTCAGGAATTTTGTGTTTGTTTGGGTAGCCAGACTTTATTTTAATTCCCTCTCTCTTTAGGTTGAGTTTGTCTCTGAGTTCTGCCAAGTACTTGTCAAACGTGAGTACAGTTTCTGCTACTACTTATTTGTCGGTATGGCCGAGGCAACAGTTTCTTCTGTGATCAGAGAACAGGACGTTGTTTCTCAAGAATGTCACCAATAAGACCCTAGATATTTTCAACATAGGGCAGGCACATATGTCACAGAAAACAAACCTAAAAAATAGTTTTTACTCACTTATACCCAGATGCTGTGCAAGACTACATTCTTTGATCAAATTGTTGTTTTTCAGTGTTCGTTTTCTATGACATAATTTTTGTTTCAGAGAAATATAAAGTGCCAAAGAGATACATAAAAGGTTTAGAGAATGCTCCAAAGAAGAAAAAATAATGGAATATACTTATTTGTCAAACACTGTTGTAAACAATTAAAAATTATTTGTTAATATTGGAGGTCATCTCTATCATCTTTTTTATCAATTACATTCATATGAAACAGCTATTATCAGCATGTGCCTGATGTACCTGATGAAATGAGGAGATGTAGTGAAATGGAGAAATATGGTGTGATATATAATGTTTTTAATTGGATACATTTTTGTGGTAGAGAGGGAATAACTAAAGTATTATTGTCAGTATTCAGAATACATAATACATGGAATACATAATGAAGTACTACAAAGATCAATTCTTGGGCCAATAAATCAAACTATACTATAACCTATTTATATAAAGAAAAAGTCTAAACTAATGAAAAATCATCAAGCTACATTATACCAAGTTTCGCCAAATTAATGTAGAAAGCTGTTGATAACATTAACAAAGTATTATACTAATTGCAGAAATAATCAACATATTTACAAAATAAAACTCAGATATTGATGAATGAACTGAAACTACATTCCTAAAAGATTCAAATGACAGTAAGAATACCCGTGGGAAGTACTGCAGTTTCCTTGGTCTTTATCATTTACATGAATGATTAAACAACTATATCAGGGTATTTATCAATGACACTAATTTATTGAAAAATAATCAACAGATATCAAGATACAGCTGCTGGAAGTCCTGGCCGGTGAGAAGCCCCTCCTTCAAGATGTGCAGTAGATGTGTAGATGCTTTTTTATATATCTACCAGAACCCAAATGGCATTTTAATATCCATTTATTGTTTACCCCTTAATCCGTACTAGGTAAAATTGCAACAAAAGTTTCTATTCCTACTTTCTCCGTCATACACCAATCCAAACTTATACGATTTCTCCCACCGGCCATGACTCAGGCCGGTAGCTGTAATAAGGGTGGTATAAAAATGTTCAGTGAAACAGAATAGATTTCAAATAGATTAATTTTTAAATAGGTAATTCAAAACAAATCTGATATTTTTTCAAGACAGACCAGTTACAGATAGAAAAGTTTCAAAATTTCCTTAATGAAAACAGCTGTAAAATATTCAAAAGACACCAAGATTCTAGGTCTTCCTACTGGTAAATAAATCTTCAAATAAATCGATTGATTGTATGGCCAACAAATTTATTATAAAATTATAATGAATAAGAGTGGTCTACTAACACCTAGACAAGAAATCATTAAAAGTTCTTTACTTTGACAATTTTAGAGCTGAGTAATTTGAAGTATATTGTGTTTATCTATTTTCTAGATCAACAATTTGAAATATATATTAGCTTTATATTCATTATTCTTTTCATTAAAAAATAAATGTTTCCTCTTTTACTTGTTAATAGAGTCATTACAAGTTGTAATGGCTGGTATATTGTTTAAATAAAGATTTATATTATCATGCAATAGACTGAGAAATTTAGAACATTGGAAAACTGTCACGAAGTCCAATTCTGTAACAAATTTATTCAGTTACTGTTGTTCGGACAAAACACATGACGCAGCACTGATTCAGCAAGTCTGAGATATCTAATCTAATTGGTCATGACAATTGTTTACTAGACAAAAATGTAAGTAGACAGAAGTGAATTTATTGAGTGTGTAACTTTGCGTTTTCAAAAAATTCAACTACTGAGTCGTATGTATTATTTGATTGTACTATGATAGTGTTTAATTCTTCTATTTGTGTATAAATCATTTCATAAAATAACAGAAAAGTGTAACTGGATGTCCAGATAGGGTAGCTTTTTAAGAGACGGCTGATACTACTTTTATCTTGACAACTCCCGAATTCTTTGAATGTGTTTTCTCAGACGACTGAAAAAATAAACCTGGAAACATACGGGAAAACTTTCGTCACTGAATAACTGCTTCAATAAGACCGTAGCATAATTAGTGGTATAGTGGTAATTTAAACAAAGCAAGGTTTCGAGTTGCTCTGACCGGAATTCTAAAAAAAGTAGATAACAGATCCGAACAGTTTAGATCACCTGAGAAGATTTTGTATAGAAATAACAGGTCTTGAAATCCTACTTTACTCTAGAGTGACTAGATTCAAAATAGTTAAGATTGTATTATAATTCATAAGTGCTCCACACAAATCCCAGTTTGAATGCACAGAAAAATCGGTTCTGGATTTACGTGTTCAGAATAATAAGACCATACAGTTGGTGCATATTTTAGAATCGATCCAACATAGGCCAGATATACTGTTTTCAACGACTATATATTCGGGTCACTAGAAATCCTACTAATAAAACGGAGTAGTTGTAGAGACTTACAATTATAGAATTCATATGAGGAACAGAAGAGATTTGTCTAAATTAACACCCAAGTCACGAGCCGCATCAATGCTACCTATGAAATGATCGTTCAAAGAGAAACTGAGCTACAAAGCAGCAAGATTCATCTGAAGTTCCTTCCAGTCATCAGAATCAACTACCCCTTGCTCTAAGATTATCTGCAAAAGGCAGAACTAGAGTAATGTATTACATCATACAAGTCAATGTACACATTGAATAATAATGGACCAAGATGAGATCTTTGTGGTACTCCTGATACTGTGATTGTGATGCTCCTAATCACAGCAGAAAAGCAATCTGTGGACAACCCACATTATCTCCAGATGCATATAACAGATATCTAACAAGGCACCTTACAAACTAGTACAGGATATATATATGAGCAAATTTTTGAAAAAATATAAAGGCAAAACTTCAGTGCTGAGTTGACTTGTGATTCTTGCCTAAAACTTCATATTGGCCAAACGGGAAGAACATCTTCCCAAAGAACGAAGGAGCACAGCAGTAGTTTTTTGAAGTTGAATACCAACTCAACATTTGCAAACCATCTTCTGGCAGAGGTGTACGAGTTCAACCACGATTATGATCGGAAGAGAAAGGTTTGAAAAAGGTACTGCAGTTCTTATAAATTAGTAGATTTTTATTAATTCGGAAAATTTACTAAATGGCCAAATACAATTGAGTTCTTACCCTATGTGGAATCTGTTTTCTAATGTGGAAATTGGTAATTAGTTTACATGTCCATTTAATGAGTTGGTGAAATTTCATTGCCTGGACTACTGTCAGGAGATAAGAAATACATTCTTGGATTTAGAGGTGGACAGTTCAAATTTCAATTGTAAAACATATGTGTATGCTACATCATTTCAACAAGACATTAGAAATATTATTCAGTTTATTCTCTCATTGAACAATTCTCTAAAATTCAACATATATCACCGAAAATCAGTTGTATAGAAATAGTTTCGATCGAGGAAGAATATCCTGGAAGGGAGATATTCTTGTGATAACAGTGTCCAATTACCCAATGAGTAACATCTATTAATAGAATGCTTTTGATAAAACTGGCTGTAAATATTTAAAAATTGATTTTCCTCCAAAAAAAAATTCGTTCAATATGTTTAAACATATACATAACGGAAGAATTTCAGACATCAACAGCTTTCCATTAGTTGATGAAACCTCAACAAAATGGATCTGAACATTTAATATTTTGCAAAATATATAGTCACCGGACATATCCAGCCACACTCCATATGGAAATAAAAAAAATTGACTGGCTGAAAAATATCTTACATCTATTCAGTCTTGACTTATATAAAGGTATTATTGGCATTATGAAATAAAAAGAAAAATAAAAACTCTAAATATGATTACTAAATATGATACCACAATCATGAGACGATAATAAAACCAGTGTTGTAACATAACGGAACAACAGTAGCAGAGGCGGAAGTGCAGAAGTTGGCCTCCGCCATACAATTTCGTCAATAAATGAACGATAGGATATTTTTTATATACTTAGCTTTCTTGAAAAGACGTGGACAATTTCTCAACTAGAAATATGCATATTTACTTTTGAAACAACTACGTTTTTAGGAAAGCTAACAAGTGTAACAGTATACAAGTGACGAACAAAAGTTAAAACTCCTTTAAAAAACTTGCGGAGCCCGAAGCAAGGTTCTGTTACAACCCTGATTAAAACTATGTTATTGTATACATGACTTATGAATAATGTTTCAACCTTTCACAAAACAATATACAAAAATAATATAAGACAAAGCTATGAATTTGTAAGCAAGTACCTACTTTCACTAATAGGTATTGCAAAAATGAAAAAAAGATCTGCTATGGAGGATATCTACACCAAGTTATTGTAAAAGGTTATGTACCAACAGATAATCATAAACATCACAACCATGAATATTTTTTGTTTTTGAAAGGTCAAAGATACAGAATATAAAAAAAATTCAAGGAGTGCCTCACTTGAAAAACAGCAGTGTATATTCGGAGCAGAAGTCTCATAAAAATCCATAAATCCAAGGGTAAATCTTGAATTCACCAATGAACGCCAATAGAAATCTTTATTATATCCCACATTAAAGTAAGACACCCCTTTGAAAATGACAGAGGAAACGACAATCACATCAATGTCTGTTTTCATGTGAACATCTCATGAAAACAGATTTATCTCCAAAACTAACAATTGAAAAAAGTGGAAAGGCCATTAAAGATGATTGAACATATAATTATTTTTGTGGTATGAAATATATCATCACACATACAAATAAGGTAGATTTTGCAGTCATTAATAGAGTATTTTTACCAGAATGGCAAGCTACTGAAGGAAAAAAATAGTATTTCAAATAGACCATGTCTCAATCCTTATTTTTCTTAAATCAAAAGGTATACAACAAAAAAGTGTAACATATAATTCTAGTTGTACTCCCCCCTCCCCCTTATCTTCAAATCGACCTGGGTGTAGTCCTCAAATAGCAGTACATTGTGGTCTTTTACAGCTTTATAACACTGGAATTATAAAAAGGTGTAACAGATCAAGTACACTCACGTAATTAATGACGAATACATACAAAAAACAGGAAACTAGTAATAGTTTCATATTACGTATTAGTGTTAGCTTTTCTAGCAAGAAATGAGATTATTGCAAAATTTGAATAATAACATTTGAGGTTAAAGTTTTCAAAAGCCATTCACGTGTACACAAATTATTCTCAAAAATATTAAAGTATGATATTTCACATATTTTCATGACTAGCCGGGTGTAGTGTCATTAACAAAAATTTCTTCAATAGATTGTTCATATTTATTTTCTTCAATCTCCCAAGGTCTCACACATTAATACAGCGTAATCTTTTTTTTTTCAATGAGTCTGAACTTTCCTTTGATAAAGTGAAAAAAAATAATTTCAATAAATTGATGGATGTAGCCGTGGTAGGAAATAATAATTTTTAAAAGTGGTAAAAAACATAGAAAGTTACAATTCTCATTTTTCAAAATTAATTATTTATTGCCAACAAGAGAAGTAGGTAACTTGAGGTTTTTTTGGTGCAGAACTGTAGAATAATCAGAAAACTGTAGAATAAATATCTAGAATTATATTTCAGTATAGACAATTCAAGAAATTCCTTGAGGTTTTCCCAGTGTTACGGTAGCAACAGTCATGGGTATTCCAGTATCAGAATCCAGAAAAATCCAACTAGAAACAAAAACATTTCAAAGATATGAAAACCAAGGAATAAATATATTTAAAAGTTCATGAATATAAACGAATTACTCATAATTTCGTGTGCCTTAGATTATAATTGTTCAAATGAACATTCACAACAGCAATACCTGAGAATTGCCGTATGAACTATATTACTCAAATAGTTGAATACTAAATTCATTATTTGCAGCAAACTGTTATATTCTGTGTTTATTGGATATTCTAACTCACAAGACAAGACATGTGTAGGACCTTTGGATTACAAGAGACATAAATTACATTATTATTAGTGTATAACACACCGAAAGTGTTAATATATCTCCAGTACTAAAATCAACAGAGTCATGTAGTACTTTCTTGAATCTTCTAAATGCAGCAACAATATGAACAAGTTGATAAAATAATACTAATAAATTTATTTACAAAATACGTAGGAGGTAATCTCAAGAACACCGGGTCTGATACATCAAATCACAACCGATCATGGATAGTGAAATGACATAAACTAGGGACAATTTTTTCACGGCCGCAATATACACTACACAATTCAGTTCAAGTACTATTTCTGCAACTCTGAACTGGCAGTTTGGAATGTTGAGGTTAGGCTTGGGCCTACATCTTACCGAATCACCTCTTGAAATGAATATTACAATAGCAACAGTTGTAGTCATATACTAAAACGAATGGGTACCTGGATGCTATAACTTGTGGTTACTTGTCAGCCATGTGAGTCCTTCATAGAGTCCATCACCAGTGGTGGCACAGGCGGGTTGAACATGCCAATTTCGATCTCTAATTCGTGTGAGCCCCAACTTCTCTTGAATCTCATGAGGTTTCATCGCCTCTGGCAGGTCTTGTTTGTTAGCAAATATGAGTATTATTGCATCACGCATTTCTCGATCATTGATAATACGATGTAATTCCTGGCGAGCTTCATCAATGCGGTCTCGATCGGCACAGTCCACAACAAAGATCAGGCCTTGGGTTCCAGTATAGTAGTGTCGCCACAAAGGCCTTATTTTATCTTGCCCTCCAACATCCCATACATTGAATTTAACATTTTTGTAGGTCACTGTTTCCACATTAAAGCCCACTGTTGGAATTGTTGTAACTGATTGCCCTAATTTGAGTTTGTACAATATTGTCGTTTTTCCAGCCGCATCTAGCCCAAGCATCAATATTCTCATCTCCTTGTTGCCAAATATTTTGGAAAGTAGTTTCCCCATCGTGTTGGAGGGCTTTCGTGACTTTTCCTATCTGCAAAGAAATGTACCAACATGTAATATTCTCCGAGTTAACCACATTCCAATTCAAGATAATGAAGGGGAGGCGAATAACTTCGTGCAAGTATTCATGAGATATCACTTGACTTGACAGTTTTGACAACAGATAGGAATTTTAGACAGCATGTCATGTTATGGCGGACATCTAACGGGAACAAGAGCGATTTCTGACAATATAAGGTTTTTGATTTTACAATAGCTCGAGATGGATATTAATCACCTACCATTTAGCATTGACGGCTTTTAAAAACTAATTTCAACAAAACACTTCCTAAATAAATTTTTTTTCCCCATATTGCTTTTTCGTTTCGCCGACAAAGACCTAAATTTTCTCGGAATGCGCAACCGCACTGGTCCGGTAACAGTTTTTAGTTTTTATACAGTGTTGCTGATGCTGATGCCAATGACAGATTCACAGCATAGAGGTGTGTCTGAATTTATGGCTGCGTCCAGGACAAAAAAAACGGACAGAGCTGCGGTCAATGCAGTGTAAACCAAAGAGTACACGTTAGTTGGTGTACTCTTTGTTGTAAACTGTTATATTATATGTCAAATGTAATGTCATAAATTAAACATTGCATGAAATATATACTCAACCCATTTTAGGAAGCAATAATTTTTCTGTTGACTGTAATATTATATTTTATTATATTATTTCCTAACTAAATGTCAGTTTTCAAATTTTATTGCAAAGGATTCATATAGATAAAATACCAACTGTCAGCATTTTTAATCAGAAAATACAATGTGTTCATATCAACTGAAATATCATTTCTATTAGGACAGTGTCCTCGACCATAAAAGATATATCACCAGACAAATATGAAATGGAAAAAAACGTATCATTATGTATTTTGAAAAATAATGTGAATGTAACCATTATTTAATCGATAAAGAAAATATATACTGTTACAGAGAAATAACGGATCATATTCATTCTACATGCATTAGACTATGATGTAGAAGAATGTACAGTCTTTAAAATCAATGTTTGCCCTCACATCAACGAATTGTACCCTTCTTTCAATATAACATATTTCGCCTTAATGACATTGAAATATAATTTTGTTTATCGGAATCAAATCTTTTCAAGAAACACTTTATTGTGAGATTTTCACTACACAGTTTTACAAAAACGCAACGCCTGAAGAAGCTATTGTATAGCGAAATACGTGTTGTGTTTTTGTAAAACTTCGTAGTGGAAATCTCAAAATGAAGTGTTTCAAAATCTAATTGGTATTTACTATATACTTCAGTTAACCTAAAACTAAATATGGTTGGTTGACAATGTGTCATGTGGCATCTTCAAGAGGAAGATCAAACTGAGTTTAATCTTTCTCTTGAAGATGATCACTTATTGGTGATCGAAACACGTGTCAAGATGTTTAAATAACGGTATGGTGTTGGGAAAAAAATCTAGTAACATTTACATATCAAATATGATAATGTATACCGCAGTACCAGACGAAACGTTTAGTAATACAAGTTCCATTCAACCACGGCCTACCAATTCGAATATTTTATCTCAAATTTAGAGCTTTGTAGGGAAATTTCTAAATAAATTCTCACCAAATACGTCAATTACTTGATTTATCTTTATTTATATATGAAATGATGAGCCTTATGACTATGCGAACTTGGAAAAAGATGATCTCAACAGGTACTGCGATGTTTAAATTGATGACAAACAGTTATTGAAAACAAGACATTACAAGAACTTATAATTTCTTGTGAATCCATGTTTTGCCATATGTTTGAATGACCAGTAAAAAATTTAGTATTCTAATTTTTTCACTGAATATTTTCCAATGTAAAAGTTTCAGTAACTTATTTTGTATGACGACACTGTTGGTGATATCTTGTAATGTCAACTTTGTCTATAAGATGGGAATATTTATCATGAAGAATAAAGTATATGTATATGTAGGTAATAATGATTAATATGTTGGCTTATTGGGGGATCAACAGTTGGTAATTTTGATATAGAAGATATCCTTGCACTTTAACTAGAAACAGTAAGCACATAAGAAGTTAATATGTTACGCATTGTGTTGTAGTGGCAATAGGAAATTATAAATTAATATTTCACAGATTCCCAAAACTGGAATTTTTCAATTAGTCACAGTAATTACACCAATGTATATTAGTCTATATACAAAGATTACACATTTTTATATGTCAAATATCACTGTTACCACGCGTGAAACATATAATATTGGCATTATTGAATAAGTGACAGCAACTTTGATTTCCCCTGTCCCGAGTCTGAAGTAAAAAATATTTTATGTGTGATAATTTGTATAATAGACATAATTTCAAATATGGGGGAACATAATTTCACCCTAGATTTTTGGCGACACTGTGCCGTAAGCAGGCTTCTGCTCCAGACCTATAGGAGCCAGTAGCTTTTCCCTCCGTTTTTAACATAACCATAATCATAATGGTTGAAAGTATAAATTAAGAAGTAGAATAGGTTAGCCCACTGAAGAGAGGGCTAAATTTGTGTACAAAATATATACATGGAATAATATTTATATAATAAGAAACTAACATAATAGGCAATTGTTTGTAGCAGAGAAAAACAAGAAGTATTATAGTTCAACAAAAAAAGCGCAAAAATTTTGTAAATAAGATCCAAATGGCTAACTATTTGAATGAAAATGTGTATACTCATACCTTTACGCCCAAGGAGTATCAAGTAGAACTGCTGGACTCGGCGATAAATGAAAATACCATTGTATGTTCTAGTACAAGTTCCTCAAAAGCCTTTATCGTTGTGAAATTATTGCAGGAATTATCCTGGCAAATGAGAAACAATTATGGCTTGAAAGCTATATTCATCTTAGATTTACAAAATGTACCTATAATGACTTCACATGTAAAATATTTGACTGATTTAAAGTGTATAAGTATTACCCAACACATAGCTGAAATCGAACATATCAAGGAGAATGTGGAAAACCATCAAGTTATAATAACTACTGCAGAAATATGTCTAGAAATGGTGCGTTTCCCTGTGATAAATGATTTCAGTGGCTTTAATTTACTTGTGATTGATGACTGTCTTTATGGCCCTCGCCAAACACTTATAAGACAAATAATGAATGTATGCTATAACATGTTTGTAAATGAAAGACCACGTGTTCTAGGATTAACTTCAGGATTGCTTAGCTCTGAATTACAACCAGATAGACTAGAGGCGGAACTTAAGGGTTTAGAAAAACTACTCAATTCACAGGTCGATACTAACTCCGAAATAGTTACTTTAATTCGGTTATCTTGTCGACCCCGTGAAACCCTTATCGAATGCTCTAGATTAATACAGTGCAGCTTAAATGATAAAATCAAAGTGATAGTTGAAAATGCCATAGATTTTTTATTAGATCATCGTTATGACCTTAGTGAAATTTATGCCGATGAGTTTGAGGAAGAATACAAAGCAGTTCCTGACCCAAAAAATGTACCTTTGGAGTTACTGAGAACTTTTTTGGAAATACTTGATGATCTCGGCCCATGGGGTGCTGATAAAGCTGCTTTATATATATTATCCAAAATAGAGAAATTGAAAGTTAAAGTTCCTTATGAGAGGCATTATCTTCTTTTATGTATGACTTCAACAACATTAATAACTGTTAGAGCTATCTGTGATTTTGAATTTGGAGATGTTGATGATTCAGATGTTATGATGAAATATTCTTCACCAAAAGTATTGAAGTTTTTGGAGGTTTTGAAGCAGTTTAAACCTCCAGGAGAAAAACCACTTCCAAACGAAAAGGACAAACCAGAGCTTGAAGTTACCTCTCCCATAAAAATGAGAGGGAAAGGAAAATGCCCAAGACGACCCCTCATTTCCAGAGCTCAGACAGATGATACTCTCTGTGCTCTAGTTTTTGTGCATAATAGATATAAAGCTAAGGCTCTTTTTACTTTATTGTGTGTAAGTTCTTTATTCATTATTATTATTATTATTGTATAAAAGGTTTTAAAGGTCATGTGCCTCATCTGAAGCTCCGATTCATTATTATCGAGATTGTTATTGAACTTTCTATCATTTCACTGATGATTAGTAATTTTAAACTCATTTTGGGAAAGATAAAATCAGACTCTCATCAGTATCTTCAGGAAAATCTTTCATAAAATCATCAGAAACGTACTGGTGTTAGGAATCATACTTTAAAAGGTAATACCTCGTTAATCCTTAGCTCGCACAAGTTTCGGCTTATGAGAGTTGTCGTTTGTAAGGGGGCGACAGCTGGTTTACGGAAAAACAGATTTTAACAGAGATTTTCTTTTAGTAGACTAAGATAGCAAACTAAAACCCTGGAATTGCTCGATCGTGCTGATCAGGGGCTTACCAGTATAATGTTGATTATATATCTATGAAATGCAGAACGCAAATGGATTTGGAATGAAGAAAAGTTATTTATAATAATCAATGAAATCGGTATTTCCAAGAGAAATAAAATTGTCATTCCACCAAAATGTTAAAGAATACCAACAACTGAATCTAGATCATTTTCCTTTGGAAAATCTCGCTTGCTCAAGGTGTTGAGGTGTCCCAAGACGAATAACACCCTCTAGAAAAATCCTATCACAATATACTGATAGTCCAATTAAAGTTGCTGTGGCAAAGTGTAAACAGATTTCCAATATGTTTACAGAAGATACAGCAAAATAACAAAGTGCTAAAGTAGACTTTTTGTTATTGTTCAATTGCACCAGAAAATAGTCAACTTTGCTACAATTCATCCTATTCTCTATCTCTTACTGTTTACAAAGTCCCTCATAGATAGAATCGAATCTGAATAGCCCTGTATATGAACTGATGTTACTGTTACTTTTAATGCTTAGTGGGTTAGGAGTGTACGATACCAATCGTAAAGATGTAAAACTGGACGAAGAACGTAAATATTGAATATACTCTTTTTAGACGTAGTTTCATTTAAAACTACTACTTGTTCATTATCTTTCAAGTATGAAACATTTCAATTGTTTGCCGTACCTCTAACTCCAGTTACAGTATTTATACCTTCAAATATTGACAAAAACATGTTTTTTCTCAAAGAACTGATCCTGAAGTTGATAAATTTCTGAAAATGACTTGAGTAGAACAATAAGATGTCTTGCCTAACACTTATTTTTGTATCGAATTTTTCAGTTGCTCTCTAAGACAGACGAGTTCTGGTGGGTATCTACTTTGTTCTCTGTTGAAAAAGTTGCTGATCCATTGCGAGAGCCCCGAGAAGCAGAGCATGAACACAAAATTCAAGAAGAAGTTTTACGCAAATTCAGATGTCACGAATGTAACGTCTTAATCGCCACATCGGTATTGGAACAAGGCTGTGATTTACCAAAATGCAATTTAGTTATAAGATTTGACTTACCCACGACATTCCATAGTTATATACAAAGTAAGGCGCGAGCTCGAGCAACAGACGCTCACTATATTTTATTTGCAAATGAAATTGAGGTCACAACAATTGTTGACAACTTATCACAATATTACGAAGTCGAAAGAATCTTACTGCAGCGCTGTTCCAGTCTGGAACCCAGCAAAGAAGAGGAGGCCATTGCTGATGCTTACTCGAAATTCTGTGATCCGTACAAGACGCTTCAGACGGAAGATGCTGCAAGTGTAACTCTACAAAATGCCATCCCACTGTTGAATAAATATGTTGCCAAACTACCCAGCGATACTTTCACTAGGTTAACTCCCATTTGGCAAGAAAAAATTGATTCTTCAGGGAAATATGTCTGTAGTATACGACTGCCAATCAATTCTCCTATAAAGCAGACTATTCACAGTCCAGCAATGCCTAATGGCTTACTTGCAAGACGTGCAGCTGCTTTCATGGTATGTCAGTTTTTGCATAAGACGGGAGAGTTGGATGATCACCTACAGCCAATTAACAAAGAAAATTTCAGAGCTACGGAAGAGGATTGGGACAATTTTGCTTTGGATGAGCCAGATGATGAAAATTCCGACGTCAGACCTGGTAAAGTAGTATTTAAATGGATGATGTTTGTGGAAATATTATAAGACCCAAGTAGCATATTTTCATTCAAATGTTATATAAGAGTGATATTTATATATTCAAAGTATTATTTATTTTGAACTCGTTTTGTATATTCAAAATATATTCAAATCATCAAAATTTATTAAAAATATCTGTGAACTCATTCAAAGTAAGCATTTTCAATCTTCTTATAAATTTTATTTATGCATAATGATACAAAGCCCGTAAAAATACATAACAATAATATGTATGTCAATAGATTTCAACAAAAAAAAATATAAACTATCTCAAAATAAAACGAAATAAAAATGTTATAACATTGCCAGGTTTCCTTATTATATATGAAATTGACAATTTTGAAAGTAACAATCCCGCAACTTCGAAGTACACAACTGAGGATGATAGTGTTCCATGTAAGTGACATTTTATATTAAAACTCTTCAATATATCTCATTATATAGCATTCTTATAGCTTTAAAAGTCCCCGTTATTATCTGAACATACCCCGTATATTTTGAATATTCGTTTGCTACTTGGGGGCTCGTTGGAAGGTAGCTTTGCTTGCACATGTGTTTTCAATTCGATCACTTCATGAATTTGAATTTATAGGTACTACAAAAAGAAGGCAGTATTATTACAAACGCGTAGCAGGCGCACTTTTGGACTGTCACCCTATATCTGGGGAACCATGTTACTTTTATGAAATTATAATGACTCTTACATGTCCCTTGCCTGAAGAACAGAATACCAGAGGGCGAAAAATTTATCCTCCAGAAGAGTCTGCTCAAGGATTCGGAATAATCACTTCAAAAGAAATATCTCAAGTAATTCGAGGTATATTGAAAAAGTTGGGGAGTTTCTGCAATGTACTTTGTTTTTCAGATCAGTGCATTTCCTATTTTCACTCGATCTGGGGAGGTGAGTGTGGATTTACAGCTTATCTCCAAGAATATCGTATTGAGTAGTGAGCAAATAGTTAAAACAAGGGAATTTGTGAATTATACCTTTACCAGTGTTCTGCGACTCCAAAAGTACCTGATGCTCTTCAATCCAGAGGCTTCTTCCAATAACTATTTGATTGTACCAACGATTAAAAGTAGGTATAATTGAACTAGAATAATAATAGTTAATTCTCCAGTTATCAGTCCAGATTCCCAAGCATTTTGCAGATGGTTTATTTTCCATTCAGAAAGTTTGAAGGCAGAGATTTTCGTATATAAATCTGAATGATCGATGTTGGTTTTGCTAAAGTTAATACATAACAAGTTAGATCACACCAATATGTGACGTTTTCTAAATTGATTTTGATAGTATCCTTCAAAGAATCCTTGTCTCCTCACCACATTATTTTATAGGTCGTCAGTGACAGAAAAATAAATTTGTAAATTATCCCCCGAAAAAGAAACGCCGGCCGCCGCTGATCTTGGTCAATCGACTGTGACTTGGCTAGCCGCGCTACACGCTACTTACGCTCCTCGATCGTACTAGATGTCGCGTCACTTCGGGAATAATTCTGTCGGCTTCCTAAGACTTCCATCGAGATATGAAGTCACTACCAACATGCAGATGAAGGAAGTCTAGTTGAAAGTGCGGTGCGAAGTGAGCTAATAAGGCGATAGTCATTCGAGAATTAGTCTGAAGTTCAGTTGAAAGTTTTTGTGCTGTATTGGCAATGTAGTGGTAAAATATAGTTGAGTTTAGCTGTACAATGCAGTCAATTATTGTCGAACCCACAGGGAAAATGTATCATAGATGGCCGCTAGGGGCAACTATAGTTCTAATAAACTGAAAAAAAAAAATGCAAATATTGTGAGAAAAATACTAGAAAAGGAAGTTGAGGAAAGAGATATAAAAAACTATCTGAACGAAAAAACATTCGGGACATTCATAGATACCAAGCAAATAAAAATCACTCATTTAATGATTTTATTTTTGCTGTTTATCCATATTTTCATTTCATGACTTGCTATAAATATTCAGACATGTATAGTGTAATCAAATTAACTGTTCTATTCTGTTCTAGCCTCCAGAATAACATGGTGATTATTTGTAATGGGTTGTGGTCATATTATAATCTAGAAGGATGTCGTTCTTTTTCCTTCTATTCTGATTGTGTACATATGTTTTTATTAAATTTGTGTATTAGAATAGAAATATGTTGATAGCTTCTATAGCTGTATTCCGTTTTCTACATCTTTCTGAGTAACTGAAGATTAATCTTATTACAACATAATATAATTATATACAATTAAAAGGTTTAACATAAAAATAGGAAGGAAAAGCAGTGAGACCAAGTTATATCAAGACATCCCTTTGCAGGAACTCAGCTAAGCTATAATAACCCCCGTTCATCAATAATTCTTTGATATGGTTCTTGAAACTTACTAAGTGTAGGTCCTTGATATCCTGTGGCGATGAATTAAAAAGTATGATGCCGTTATACCTAGGAGATTCCTTGAATGTCGAAGTTTTGTGTTTTGGGATGGTCAAGTGTTTAGTTCGTGTTGCGCATAATTATGAGTGACTGACCCGTGACTGAAATGAACTATGTTGTATCTTACATGAAGCAGAGCTTTATAAATATAGATACAGGGTAAAGTTAATATTTTATATTTTGAAAATAAAGCTCTTCAGCTATATCTCGGTGCAATGTCAAATATGATTCTCATGATTCTTTTTTGTAGAATAAATACACGTCTTGCGCCAGCAGAAGTACCCCACATTAGTATATTTTGAGCCATGTGAGAATAGATTAAAGAATACTAGACGGTCTTGATACCATCTAAGTATAGCAACTGTTTGAGCTGGCTTATTGCAAATATTGCCTGATTCAATTTTTTACACACATGATCAATATGAGGCTCCCAAGAGAGGGTTTTAACTAAGTACTTACTGGCTGTGTCAGATAGTTGAACGTTATTAAAATTCAATGTCTTCCTCAAAGAGAAACCCAAGTAAATTCTTTTATTTGCATTCAGTTTCAGTTGGTTTCTGTCACACCAAGAAATCATAGCGTCCATGACTGAGTTTATATTGAACTCGTAACTCATCTATTGTGTTACCAGACACTGATATGCAACCTTTGTTTGCATAAATGAAAACAGGGCATTTCTGCTGTATATTATATATAAATATATTTTTTGATTTCAGATTGCAATGACATTTTTGTTCACTGGGAGTTTGTTGATTTGATATATGATAACGTCAATACCACACCTTGTATCATTTCGGATGAAGATAGAAAAAATTACGTTTTCAATGCAGAAGATTATCGAGATGCAGTTGTGATGCCTTGGTATCGAAATCAGGACCAACCTCAGTATTTCTACGTAGCCGAAATATGCACAAATCTCAATCCCACTTCTGAATTCCCTGGCTCTGAGTACGCAACTTTCGAAGAGTATTATAAACGGAAGTACGATATTCAAATCCAGAATCTGTCGCAAAACTTATTAGATGTCGACCATACCTCTGCCAGATTGAATTTTCTCACACCGAGATATGTAAACCGTAAAGGGGTTGCTTTGCCTACTAGTAGTGAAGAAACAAAACGAGCTAAACGAGAAAATCTAGAACAGAAGCAGATTCTAGTGCCTGAACTATGCGATATTCATCCTTTTCCCGCTTCTTTATGGAGGAAAGCTGTGGCTCTGCCATGTGTCCTCTACAGAATCAATGCTCTATTACTTGCCGATCAGATAAGAAGGACAGTTGCCGAAGATTTAAATTTGGGCAAAGTGCAATTACCGGAAGGTAAGCAATTTGAGTAGATTGAAGATATATTTTTATAAATTTCGATTGATTATTAGACGGATTACGGATTGTTTGGAGATCGGTGATCGGTTTTAACGTAGGACGTGGCTTGCATATGATGGGCTCCATACGGAGGATACATATTCAAGATGAATTCTTGCCAGTGAGCAATTCAGAATTTTTTGGCATTTGATATCAGTGAAGTCTCAGGAAGCAAAGCAATTTCAGAGAATTATTGACAGTGACTGACATGTAGGGCTGAAATGAAAGTGGGTTTTCTAGAAGTGAACCCAAGGCTTTCAATTTCGTATCATTGAGTGGCACTTGATTTATAGACTTGAGAGAATGTCGAAGGAATATGATCGCCGCTAGAAATTATGCAATGACATTTACGTGAATTGAGTTCCATATCATTGAAAAGACACCAAGTAGACTTTTCGCAAAAATCTAAAAACACGTCAAATTTCATAAAAAGGTATAAAACAGAAAGCATGTCTTATATAGTTCATGTAGATAAACCTCGAGACTTTCGTTCAATCCTGGGATAAGGTCTAACGTCTGGATCCATTACAAAGTCATACAGCACAGCTGTCCAACTGTGATGCTGTGGCTGACCATCATAAAATTCTGGTGCTATCTTCTTTACCTCTGGTAATCTCAAACCAGGCACAGCAGAAAAATAATGATGCTTATTGTGGTATCCAACATTGAAAGGTATCCGGCTCGAAGGACCAACATTATGATGAGTATCAATGTACGTGGACTGTATTTTCTGTGACATGACTTTGAATGTTGTCCTTTTGGGTGATTTTGGTAAATGAGAGAACATCTATTTTAAATTGAACTGAACTGTACTTATCTTGAGAATTTCAGTGACTTGTTTCGAATAATGTAGGTTTTCCAGTTGCATATCCTGGTGGGCAATAACGTTACTCCCGACCGTTTTTGACAGAATATCATATAAGGTGGGTACGCGATATAATTACAAATGGAGACAAGCACAGTAATATCAAAGTCTGAATATTAAAAAGTCAATTACAAAGAAAACACCAGAGCAGGTCTGAGCGGGTGGGTTTGTTTTCAATTATAAGTTTTATTTTTCTTTCGCAGATTTCAAATGGCCCCCATTGAATTTTGGTTGGAGTTTATCTGACGTTTTGAATAAGTCTCGAGAAGAGGAAGCTAAAAAGCAGCTGGAAAAGCTGAAAATCACAGATGCTGAAGAGGAAGAAAAAGCCACAAAACCTGCTACACCTGAAGTAAAATCAGCAGAAAATAGTGGAGATAAATCAGATAACGATTCTGAATTAGAAGAAATTCATACCGATAAACCCAAAGGTGAGAACTGGGTGGAAATTGGAACATGGAGTAATGAAATGGCGTCAAACGTAGACGGTGAAAACTCCAGTGCTTTGATTCGATATGCATCTCCCACAAGTTGGAACAATCTTGAATATCAGTACGAGTTTTCTGATACAGACTCCGAAATGTCAGCTGAAGAGAATGGGTCAGAATTTGGTGGCCTACGAATTGAGTTCATCAGTGATCACCAAGCTGAGGCTGTTGACGACGATGACGATGATGAAGAAGACAAAGAGTTCCATCTATTTGACGTCTCCAATGTTTGGGATATGGAACATAGCAGTGAAGTAACTGATGTTTTGAAAAAACGGTTTACTGAAAATTGTGCTGTAAATAAAGAATTAATTGTAAATTGTGGTGTACTGGTCAAGGAAGGGGAAATATTTCAGAAAAATTGTAGTAGAAATGAGGTCTTCAAAATAGACTCTAATATTGAGTTGGAACAGATTGATTTCTCGACATTGTCGGTGGATGTAAAGGAGATTTCCCCGGAGGCTATAGAAAATGAATGCAAATTTTACAAAAATGAATATGACTTTCCTGAAGAACTGTCCTTTAGTTTCGATAAACAACCCAGTCTAGAGGATCATCCAGGCCCAAGCCCAAATGTGCTCCTTCAGGCCTTGACAATGTCCAATGCTAATGATGGTATAAACCTGGAGCGTTTGGAAACTATTGGAGATTCTTTTCTCAAGTACGCCATTACCAATTACCTGTACTCGAAATACGAGAATGTTCACGAAGGAAAGCTCAGTCACCTTCGTTCAAAACAAGTAAGTAATTTGAACTTGTATCGTCTTGGAAAGCGTAAATCTTTTGGTGAATTCATGATTGCCACCAAGTTCGATCCTCACGACAACTGGTTGCCTCCGTGTTTCTATGTTCCGAAACAATTAGAAGAGACTCTGATTGACGTCCAGTTCCCTGCAAATTGCTGGACTGTTGCTGATATGGCAGCTACTCGAAACATGAGTTTAGATGAAATTTGCAATATGGTGCGTGAGCGAGCAGGAGGGGCTGCATTGCCGCATATAATTCCTTACAATCTAGTCACTCAACATAGCATTCCAGATAAGAGCATAGCTGATTGCGTGGAAGCTGTCATTGGGGCATATTTGATAGAGTGCGGACCCCGTGGAGCTCTACTCTTCATGGCCTGGCTGGGGATAAGAGTTCTACCCAGGAACAAACATGGTGGTTACGGAGACTTGGAACAGCCCCGGTCACCTTTGCTGAGGCATATTCCCAATGCAGATGCAGAGTTGGAGAGGTTAGTTTGTTTAGTAACATCATCAGAATGTGCTCAATTTTTTTTAATCACGAATTTTTGTATTAAAGGTTATTGGATGGTTACGAAAAATTTGAACGTCATATTGGCTACCAGTTCAAAGATCGTTCCTATTTGCTGCAATCCTTGACCCACGCTTCCTATTTTCCAAATCAACTCACTGACTGTTACCAAAGGCTGGAATTTTTGGGAGACGCCGTTCTGGATTACCTAATCACCAGGCATCTATACGAAGATCCAAGAATGCATTCCCCAGGTGCTCTGACCGACTTGAGATCCGCGTTGGTCAATAACACAATATTCGCTTCATTGGCCGTACGAAACAATTTCCATAAATACTTCCGACACTTGTCTCCTGGGTTGAATGAAGTGGTGGAGAGATTCATAAGACTGCAAGAGGAGGGAGGTCACCCGCTCGTTGAAGAGTTATACTTAGTTGTGGAAGCAGAGTGCGAGGAAGTGGAAGATGTGGAAGTTCCCAAAGCTTTAGGTGATATTTTTGAATCTGTAGCGGGCGCAATATTCCTGGACTCGGGGATGTCTTTGGATGCTGTGTGGAAAGTTTACCACAGGATGATGAAGGCTGAGATAGAACAGTTCAGCAGTAGAGTTCCGAAATCGCCTATCAGAGAGTTACTGGAACTTGAACCCGAAACTGCCAAGTTTGGGAAACCTGAGAAGCTCGCAGATGGTAGGAGAGTACGCGTCACCGTCGAAGTATTTGGTAAAGGTTTGTTCAAAGGTATTGGACGCAACTATCGCATCGCTAAGTGTACTGCAGCGAAATGTGCACTTAAGCATCTAAAACGTCGAGGACTAATACAAAGATTTGATGACTGATGTAATATATTCTAAAGTGGCTAAAACCAAAGTTATGTAGCTTTAAACATTTTTTCGTACTGTTATTTAAGTTGATGTTTTAACTCACAAGTACTTTTAAGTTGAAAACGCAATCTACAAAACAAAAATTGTTTGTAACGTTTTAAAAAATTTGTCATTTTTATAGAAAGCTATTCTGGGTTTTTTATGTGAAACCTGGTTTTCCATACATTTTTTAACCTACTGTGTTTTTTTCAATCAATTTCCTCATATAAACAATTAACATTAATAGTGACACACAAGACTTGAGTCAAAAAAATTGTCAATGAGTTAATCAAAGGATAAGCACTTTTGGACAGCAGTCACTTTTGTTTCGTAAAAAATACCATGTAAACATGATACGAAGATAACTCATACATCATGCACATTGAATTTTAACAATTTGATTCGACAGCATAGATTGGTCTGATAAATAATATTGTTGGCCGCGGTGGTAGTTCGCCCGACTCACGATCGGTAGACCGTGGGTTCGATTCCTGCCTCGACCAGATATTTTTCTCGAGAGAATTCATCTGATTAATGCTGGGAAGATTCTGCAACCGTGTTAGGAATCACACGTTAAAAGGTAAGACCTCGTTAGTCTGAGCATATTCTTTTCGAATTATGTAGGACTTGAAGAAGTAAAAAAGTAATTATGTAGTGTTCAACAAACAAATCTTTCATCAGGTTGGGTGAAACCCATGAAATTCGACAACTATGGAAGAGTTGCGTGCCTGTCTTGAACTCGTCGTTTGCGCAGACCTGAGACTGCAACTCCTGGGTCTGCGTGTAGAAAATTCAAACCAAAAATCATTCGAAGTGGGATTACTGTATATAAGTATACTGTGGCGAGGGTGTATTCAAAAACGATTCGTAGTCATTAATTACAAGATTCACCAGAATGGAATGTTTCAATTTGTGTCAGATGTCAAATTCAATAATGAAAACAAACTTTTAAATTTTCTCTAATCTCCTTAAGAATCGGAATTGTGAATACAATAACTTCCCAGCTTCATTTTGTACATCCTAACAACGTATTTGCTAAAAAGTTTTCAGCACTTTATAAAACTATAACGATCAAAATAAAGCAGAAACTGACGTAACGTAACGTCAGCCGTTTCAAAACCAACCTCACGCTGCTTTTGAATCATGAATACGTTTCAAATCAAATGATGACGTCATCGTTTCAACGCCAGAATGAATGTATTTGACTCATAGACGAGCACGTTTTGAATACATGAGCGTCAGAAAACGCCTCATATCTGAATGTCATCACATCATTTATATACGCTTAGTTTTTACATATGATCCGCTCACATTTTTTCCTCGTTCTCGAAAATACCAAACACAGAGCAGATGTCACCGCACTTCTACATTATCGAAGTCAGGCTTCTTAATTAGGGGGGGTTGGAATGTCAAATATATTGGCCGCCACGTTTATGATGTCATTGGAGGAAAAAAGTGCTAAATTTAAACTAGTTTGGTATATATTCAATCAATCTATTTATTTCCTATTAAATACATTTATAATCCTGCAGAAGCAAGTATTAATAGAATCGGCTAACTTTCAACCCTCAATGCAAAAATGTTTTTGTCCATTTACAAAAAACAAAAGTAAGAATCAGTTTCTTTAGGACTTTGATAACCAAGTTACAAACTATTGAAGTTGCTTCGTGAATATTAGTCGCAGAACCATAACCAGGATGAGCGCAGTATTGAATACATTTTTGCTTCAATATTCAACTCTAGGAAACTAACTCATCTACTGCACATATAAGTTTTCTCACAAATTTTCACAAAAATCAAATTGTTCAGTCATTGTTATTATATAACGGAATTCTTACGCTAACAGTCCAAAGACGCAGAAAAAAAGCCAATTGTCAATGAATTAATAAGTGAAATAAAAGGCGAGTTTTGGAATTCACCGATGGATACATCTATTGGTCCATTCGAAATGTTAGCGCGTTTCTATTGGTTGAAGCAATACATCAGAAATTTTCTAATGAATTTAAGAACTCACCTAAATAAATATGTGACGTCATTGAAGGAACACGAATTTTTCCTTACCTCAAGTATCCTCTTGTCAAAAGTCGGCTATATTTTGTTGTGTTCCACCCCATATGCAAACCCCAAGAAAAGCAAGCTAGTCGAGCGCTCAGATATACATTAAATGAACATACCTACTGTATGTTGAACAGAGTTCATGTAAACAATATAAAGAAACGGGCGTTCGTTAAATATATTTCGCTCCATTGACTCTGTGATCACATGGTATCAAATCTGCATCTGCATACATTTAAATCAATATAATTTATTTGTGGCTTCAGGTCGAACGTTGATCGAAGTTAGTGGTCGTCAGGGGTTATATACGAAACCTGAGTGGTCGTTACGGATGTTAAGTGGAACGCCCCTTTAAATTGACATATGTCATGTTTCATACTGTTTGACATTTTTAAATCCCGAACGTACTGTTATTTTTGTTTTGATGTTTTATCGTTATGTTTTATTTTTTAATATTCCCAGTTCTGAAAAATAATTTATAATTTGCCAATTTATCTGTGATTTTTGATAGCCCCAAAAAAACCCAATACCTATGATGATACTGTTGGAAATGAGTCCTGTCCACCCGTTTTTATAGTCATTACCCACTATATAACCTCTAAAATTTGACACACGCAGGTAAATGTTTAATTGACCCCCACAACTGCTGAACAAACTGGATAATTTGTTTATATTTCGATGTTCCATTAATGCAGAATTGAACGACGAAATATTCGTTCAAATTTGCATCAAACAATGTGAAGTGTGATACTTAACACAGTTTGAAAATTCAGGTAATAGTCTTGGATATTTAGTGTTAGACTTTACTTTGTCAAATATCCCCTTCAGTATGGCTTGTTTTTAATCTGTGTTTATTAGAGGTTCTTCAAAAATATATACAATTTTTTTGTAAGAGGGCTAGAGGTGGATTCATGTACCAGTCTTATGTTGAAAGAATTTGTGTTTTCCTCTGTTACCACTGAATATTTAGGAATCGTGCACATATATATTATGAGTAAGTAGCAAGATTCACGTTGCCTCTGAAAATCAGTGATCCAACTGCTTACAGCTTATTACAACTTGTGACTTGTACATGAATCCACCCCAAACCTATTTCAACACCTTGTATGAGAAGTTTACAATCTGTGAAGATATTCATGTGCAGCTAATCAATAATGATTATTGACACAGTAAAAAATACTCAAACCAGGCTTTTGTCAGTTTATTTTTCATTCTAAGAATAATTAGCATCCCTTTTCAGCTCTATCCAAGTGAAAAACTATAATGAGAGAACAGCTGAACCTGAGTTTTTGAAGAAAAATGAAACCAATAATTTGAAATTTAAGCACTTTGAAGGGGCAATGCTTGAGGAGCCTACAAGTACTGGTGGTAAGTAATTCTAATTGAATTTCACCTGTAGGGATAAACCAAGTATGACTCGGAAAATAATAATTTTTATTGCCATAACATCCTGGAAGATATTAACGTTTCCCAGTTCACATGTGTGTAAATAAAAATTCCAAAAATCGATGGTCTTCAAACCAGAAAAATAGTCACAATGAAAACCTCGGCCGTGAAAGCCTTAACCATTTTGTGCACTAGTTCTACCAGTGGAAAAAGCCTTTATGCAATAAATACTAATGCACAATTGCCAAATGATCCTGAGTACAGTGTTGCCTTAATTTTCATATATATCTTGTAAATGACCCAATATACTTTTTGTAACCCCCCTGTAAGCACAAAGCTTTCAATTATCTTTTTATAGTTAATTCATTTATCTATTTCCATGATATGTGTAATGTTACTGATATGAGCTAGCAAGCAATTACTCATTGATTGATAACACTATAGATAGCTCCACAAACCACACTGATTGTATTATTTATGTTTTAAGAGGATGGTGTAAACACAGAAGAACCTAATTCAGCCAGCATGGGTGCTACTAGAAATTTGAATATTGCCAGAATAACTGCTTTACAGGAGAGGAAGAAGCAAATTGAGGATATTTTAGCAAAGAGAAATCAAGAACTGAGGCAATTATGCATACAGGTATGCTTTTTTTCCACGGGTTATCGGAAGATTGTCAAAATAATTGCATTTTATGTATCCAAGACATCATATCTTAACGATTTGAGCAAATGTTTGGAAAATAATGAGGACAAAACCTGTGTCGGATAGACCAGGAGTATATAAGTTAACTTGTAGTTCTTGCCCAAAACTTTATATTGATCATTCAAATGAGAGATCATTCTCCAAATGAATAAAGGAATGTAGAAGAATATTTTTGAATGAGAAGATCAATTCAACGTTTGTAAACCATTTTTTGACAAATAGACGCAACTCAATCATGATTACGACGTATTGCATTTAAAAGAGAAACATTCAACTTTTTGGAATGCTTACAAATCGATAAATTAAGAAATTTGAAAGTAACTCAATAAAAATTGATTGATGAAAAAATTGAAGAATAGTCAACACGATGTTGGACATTTGTATGTCATGAAAATATGAAAGTAAAAACCTCTTACTTTTCAGGAAGCAGAGTTGACGGGCATCACACCGCCAGAGATGCCCCTGGAACCAGGAGAGACGCCGCCCCTGATTAGAAGGCGGATAGGTACATCATACCAGTTGCCTGAGAAACTCGTTAAAAATGCAAACAATAAAGACAAAATGATAACAGATTTGGAAATCCAAATTCAACTGCATGCAAACATGGCTGAAGCAGCGTTAGGGTTGGCTAATGAACAAAACATGACCAAGGTTAGTGGTAGTATCATAATTTATTCGTTTATAGCGTTGCCTATTTTTTACAAAAAAAAATTAACAAATTCACACATATATACTGTAACAAGTATATATCAGCTAGATGTAGGAAAAAAATATAAAAAAGGCAAAAATAAGTCAAACAATTGCAATATTTTCACAGTTTTTTCAATTAATTCCAAAGAAGAATTAAAAAGTTCTAAATCTACATTGTATGTGTTTTCAAGTCTCAAAATTCTACCTATAGACTTATTCTGGCCATAGTTGGTATGATAAAAGGGTACTTTGAATATTTCTTTATTTCTTGTTCTCTTTGGATTCACATTTAAAGTTATAAGTTCAACTAGTTCCGGGGAATTATTGCTACCTACCATTGATTATTTTCTGAATCAGTGTAACATCTGATTCTAATCTTCTATGAGCCAGATTATTCAAGTCAAGCATGTCCAATGTAACATGATATCCCAATTTATATGCAGTGTAGGTACCTTAAAAACTTGTTTTGGACACTTTCAAGCATATCAATATCGACACAATATGAGGGGCACCAAATTGGGGAGTTGCGTTCAAGTATTGATCTAAAAATTGAACAGTATATGATTTTTAAGGATCTTTGCAGATCTAAGAGTGAAACCCAACATTTTTAGTGCTCTAGCTAGAAGTAACATTTGCAATATGGGGTTTGAATTACATTTTTTGATCAGTCTTTGATTGTATTTGTTGTTTCCAGTTCAGATTGCTTGATTTTATATAAATTTATGACATTTGTCTATATTCAGATTGCGGATTATTTCAATTATGGAGAGACGTACTGTGAATCTTAGTGATATGTATGTACTTGTTGAATCTTTAATATATAATAGAAAAAGAACTGGACCTAGAACAGACCCTTGTAGAACGCCGGATCTAATTTTTTCCAGTGAGGAAGATTCCAGAGACTTGACAATTTGATTTCCATTTAATAAGTAGAACTCAATTAACTGATAATTCCTTGAATACCATAGTAGTTCAGCTTTTGCAGCAGTGCTTCATGATCAACACAAAAGCTTTGGAAAAATGACAGAACACTACCGCAACTATCACACCATCATTGATTTCAGTATAATATCATCATGATACCATTAGTATTTTTATTGTTCTGAAAACCGAACTGTGAATTTCTGATAATATTATGTTATTGGAGAAAAATAAGATTATTACTTTCACCAATTTTTCAATAAGCTTAGCAACCGCATGTATGAGTATTGGACGATAGTAAGAGGGATCATAAGAGACACCTCCTTTAAGTAATATGACTATAACTGAAGTTTTCAATTGTTCAGAAAATATTCCAGTACAAAAAAATCATCATATATGATCAACTCAAAGAAATAATACATTTACTCATCATTAAATTTCGGATGTTGTAAAACAGAATACACAAACGAAGTAAAGTACCTCAGTCTATACTAGGTATCTTCTCTATAATGTTAGTTGTTATTTTCCGCAAGGAGAATGTGATATGTGAATCATTTTACAGACTATGAAACGACAACATAGAACAGAATACCAAAAACACCAACAAAAATGTCTAGAATTGCAGGAGAAATTGGCTTTATTGAAGGAGAAAGCAGCAACGGAACAGCACAAACAAAAGAAGAAACCCAGGGTTCCAGAAATTGGTAAGTTTCAGTTCAACTATTATCACAACTACTATCATTATTTGACAATCATAGACTGATATAATAACGAGGCTTTTATAGGTCTTTTTGTCCTCACTGGTAATGTATTGCACAGTTCTCTCTAGTTTTGAAGTTCTTTGTCTATTCTGGTAACCTGTCAAGACATGTTTCATATGCTAAGGATTTTCGTTATCATTCTCTGTATCCTTTCAATGGGTTTGACATCCTTTATGTGAGAGATGGAGTTGGCCAATACTTGATGAAACTTAGTAATAGCTCATTTGATAACACTTTGAGTTTTTACTGAAACAATTCAGTGAAAATTACACTTTTTTTGTCTTTTATGTTGTACAGATTCTGTAGATTTTTCCAATTCCAGTTCAGGTCTAATGAAAGATTTTTAAAAATTGAGAATTATTTCGAATGAGTGATCCGCAAAAGCTTTTTTGATTAAAAATACCTTCTACTTGTTTTAGATATTTGTTGATATATGTGATTGAGAGTTTGATTGTGGTTAATATTTCTAGGTTTGTTTGTTCATGAACTTTGTTGAAGATCCTTTTAGGTGTACTTCCGTTTAAATTCAGCTGCCAATTACCGAGAAAAAGATGATGTTGCTATAATATCACTAATGTACATTGAGACGATGATAGGGTTCAGCACAGGGCATTGTGGTACATCTGATGTTATCTTGAATGGTTGTGAATGCAATCCATTGAAAATTATGTAGGGTTTCTTTGATCACTCTTTAAAGTCCCCCATGATCAGGCAAGTTAGAAGATTTATTACTATAGATCTTCCAGGTAAGAATCCATGTTGCGCAACCTTTAAATGTTGTTGCTTTGTAGAAATGATGTGAGTTTTTTCTCCGTAAATTTACTGGGATTGTGGAATAAACTCATTGGACGTTGGTAGATTTTTTGCTAGAAAATGATCTCAACTACATTTCTTCTATTTTAACAGATGTTATTTGAACGTCTTATTTCTTGTTTTCTCTCTTGTCATTGTTACTCTTAAAATTTCCTAATGACTTTTCCACGAATCATATGTTTTATATTTATTCAATTACTATCAAAATCCTAATAATACTACAACGTGATATGTGTTACTCGGTCCGTTGTTGGTAGTGTTAGTAAAATCCATAATATTTGTATAGCGATTATTTTTCCAATTTCCAGATTTATACCAAAGCTTAAACTTATTGGTATATCACTTGAAATTATCCTCTTAATGACTGTAAAGAAGAACTAAGTAACTTCTAATGAAATTTTAAATATTAGCCTCTGGCTTCAACTCTCTGGACTCTAATTTCAACTCTCCCAGCAACTCCTGCTGTTGCTAACTTCAAGACTGATAGTGAATTATTAATTTTCCTCACAAAGGCCATGTTTACATATTCTTATTGTCTAGCAGCATTAATTTGTTGAATATACTCAGGTGATTACCAGAAGACAGTTTTGGAGTAATTGCTCCTCATCAGTGCAGGATAGATCATACCAAGACAGCATTTGAAACATCTACTTTCTCACGAAGGTCCATTGAATTGAGCCACATTGTCTATTGAAGTGGTTTTGGCTCCATCTCGTAAACAGTTTGAACACTCTACAGGAAAACAGGAACCCTTATTTCACCTATTGGTTCGAATAAAAATCTAAGCCATTTAGATGCCTATGTTGAGGAGAGTTTACTTATTTATCGATTAATGGGTTGAACAACGTTACAAAAAAGAAATATACGAAATAACTTCATAGTCTTCTATGATGTTATTGAAAAACAATTCAAAGCGGTGAATTTGAATTAATTCATGCTGCTTCAAATTTCTTGTAGGAGCATTGAGTTTAATATGTTCAAGNTTTTGAACATGTTGATGTGAATGACACTTATCAATACAATATTTATAATTTCTTAACCCCAACCTCTTTGATTGATATTACTTTTTTCAGATATTATTCGTTTTTGTTTTTATGATGAGTAACATTCTTAGTCATTTCTTCAGTTGTTTATTTCTAGCTGACGACACCGTGTCTCTTAGCACAAATTCAAATGAGCAACTCTTGAAACCAGACGCACGACATAGTGTGCTTTCTGCAAAGCACAGTGTACCCAGTTCTAATGAACCTGTTGTGGATCCCAGATTCTCCCAAGATGTGTCAAGACATCCTTACAGGTACTCCGAAATTCCTCACGTCGGACTTCAACCTATTAAACCAGATGATCCCTTGAATTCCGGATTTTATCGGCTAAGTCTGAATGGATATAGCGAATATATGGAAAGGTAAGAACCTGTAAAACATAAAGAAGATTTGCATTTTATTTAATTTTTTGTTGTTTTAGACGTGAGAACATAAACAATGTCTACTCGTCTTCCAGCTATAATCCCCACTCAGCAAGTATGTACCACCTGTATGGCTCTCAAATACAACCTCATCAACAACATGCCCTCCATTACCAGCAACATAGTCCACACATGTCACAACATAGTCCACACATGTCTCAACATAGTCCACATTTATCGCAACATAGTCCGCATTTATCTCAGCATAGTCCTCATAGGTCCCAGCAAAGCCCCGTCTTGCCCCAACATAGCCCTCATTTATCCCAACATAGCCCACATTATAGTCATTTATCCCAAACAAGTTCGCAGTCGTCTCTGCATAGTCACCACAGTGTTCCCCATCATAGTCCACGCAAAGTACAACACAGTCCACAGCCTCCCCCCCAGCTGTCGCATCAGCGTATATCCCAGTACCCACAATATTCACCTGATTTTCCTGACATGGGTCTAACCAGTCACAGGCAGCCTAGTCCTACTGCGTCCCTTTCTCCTAAAACTCAGTATTATCCTTCCCATGCAGTGCTCAGCAGGTCGACATATAGAAATTCACACCAGATACAGCCTCATCAACAATATGAACAAATGAATGTGGTGAATTCAGGATTAGGCGGATGCTGGAAAAAAACTGGGAATGGAGAGTTGGTATGGTACACTTCAAATACAATTGATGCTAGTTGGCAGCGGGATAAAAGGTAAGACTAATTATTATTATTATTATTACTTTTTTTTTCTACTATTGAATGACTAACAGATGTTATTTAAACGTCT